CCCACTGTGATATGTTAAAAAATATACTAAATATTTAAATATTGAGTAACCTGCCTCTTAGATAGGTGCATACGGCGGTCTTATCGAGGTCTGAAGGAGTTCAAAACAAAGCTGGTAATCATTGAAGAAAGCTGGTTTACGAGCTTATGTTGGTCTATTTTACAATTTACTGTAAGGTTCTGCAAGTCATGGGCTTATCTTTATGGCCTACCCGTGGAAAACAGTCACGTTTCACACCGAATCGTCTTCGCCCCGCCGCTGTTGTTGCAAGTCCTTTATGAAGGAAGAGGGGTGTGTGTCCGTCTCAGATTCTAATTGCGCTTATGGAAAAAAAATCTTATCAGTCTGTGGATGACGGGTAGGCCCTCCTCGCATACCAGGAAGAGTTGAGAACAAAAACAAGGCTCGTGCTTCTCCAGTGTCAAAGGTTATTGCATCCTCGGAAACAATTTTCCATAATGATCTCGGACTTTGTTTTTAAGCTGGCCAATGACCCTGACACTGCCTGTGATATATCTGACTTCTGATTTATGTCATGTCACTTATATTTATTCCAGCCTTTGGAAAAAAATATCTTTTTTCTTTTTAAATCAATGTTTTTTTAAATGAAGTTTTTTCATATGAAGTTTTTTCATGTCTTGAGCATCCTTCGATGGTCAAGTGGAAATCAGGCACTTCCCAATGGTGGGAGATTGATAAAAAGATAATAGTGCGCTTACAGATGAAGATTTCCATGACACATCGGATCATTATACACACAAATCACTGCGTGTAGTTTAGATTTTTAGCTCAGACAGCATTGCAGCAGTATGCATGTGGATATTTTTGTCTTGTGTCAGTAGTTTTGATTCGTGTTGGTGTTTTGTTTTTGTAACAGGGGTTTTCTCTCCATAAAATGTTGTTTTCATTACACAGAGCTGTGTTTTTCCTGCTTTTGGATGTGTCGACATACTCGTGTAAAAGGTTTTGTAAAAGAGAGATGAAATCTGAGCTATAACCGGCTCAACTTTTTTTATTTTCTCTCTGCGTCTTCTAACAATGATTTGGAATTATTTTCCCACCGGTCCGGCTCAATAGACGTGGCGCGAAGCCTGGTGTCTTTGTTAGAAGTGAAAATGTGCTCCAAAGCTATGATTTAAAAAGACTAAGGATCAATATAAACACAAGGATAAAGGCCCCTGTATTTTCATCACGTCTTAATACCCGCTTTAATATTATGGTGGTTCTTTATCAAGTTGAAGTTTTAATATCTCTATTATCTATTAAAACAAACAGCAGAGCAGAGATTAGGCATCGTGTAATGTCTGGCTGCAGAGCCCTTCTGTTCTTTATTTGATGAACAAGGAAAGAGGATACTTATAAAGGGCAAAGAATAGTGGCATCCTCATTAAGGCCCAAACGGCTTTATTCTGTCTGCCCCCCCCCCCCAGAGGAGATCTGGCAGGAGGAGATGTTGGAACATTTTAGGTGGCCAGAGCTGCAGATTGTGTCGATAGGTTTATGTCTAAACGCAGAGTTTCTCTCACAACAGCGTATTTAAAAAAGAATCAATGGAACGTTAACGTTGAATCGATGAAAAAAAAAAGCAGTAAAACGGACCGTTTGTTTCTCCTGCAGCCCTCCAAGCGTTCCTTCTCCCGACGTGATAATATTTGTGTGTCTACCCAGTATTATCGTGCACCAGCCTGCAAATCTTGACGCCCTCTAAGTCTTTTACAGCCCAAGCAGGGATTTTGCTTCTCCAACAAGCAATTCTGCAGGATTACTTTTGTTTTTTGTTGTTTTTTTCCCCCGCTTGACCTTCACTGCTCTCTGTCTTTTAAATACTGAGGAAACAGATACTCAGGTTTTTGGCTATCTTTTTTTATTTCCTTCTCCAACTTTGGGAGCATCAGTTACCTTTAAAAAAATAAAAATAAAAAAAAGTTTTAAACCGCCATAAAGCTCAGTCAAATTCACTTTTGAGAGCTCGGTTAAAACGATCCGATAGCTCCAGTCTTTTGCATGCCGCCCATTTCCTCGTTCATTGTCTCTTTTCCTTGTTCTCTGAATTGAACCGAGCAAAAACAGCACACTGGCTTTGCTTGAAAATGTTTAATGGTTTATCTTTACGTCTTTATTTGAGACTACCCACAATGAAGTTTGTGTTCCTCTGTGTTTGAATTCAAGCTCACAGCTGGTGAGCCGTGATGGTATATTTAATCCACTCTGTGATGATGGCGGGGAAACGCTGCCCCCAGAGGAACGAGAAGCCCTCCACCCCCTCCATGCCCCCTCTTTTCAGATGAAATCTCCCTGAGTGTGTTCAGGTGTGCTGCAACTGTGGAGGATCCCAGTTCCCGTGATGCCACTCTCAGCTCTTCATGCATGGCTCAATATGTGAGTTTTTCTAATTTCACTTTGGCCGTTCAGCGCTCTGAATCGCTCATTTCACTAGCAAAAAACACATTCCCGTGAAGATTGGGTGAAAAAGGCCGACTTTATTGAGGGGAATTTGGCTCAGGCGCTTCTAAATTGCAGGTTTGAGTGGAGTCATTTTTTAGTGATGTTGAGATTAAAGGAAAGAGGAAAAAAGAGGAAAAATGCTCTGCTGGCATAGTTTTGCATGTTTCCCCCTCTCAGGGATTAAAATAATACATTTTAAAAATGAATTCCATTGCAATTACTTGTAGTAGCACAAATCTACATTTTTGGGGGAGTCATTTGCTGCTGTCAAATGTTTGTAAAGTACTTTTTACAGGCTAAAAGAAGTGGGCCTACAGTGGTTTCACAGTTTTTATAAAAGATCAATTGTTTGTTTTTTAGGACAGTAGAAATGACATGGAAAAGCAATCATGAAAACTAAATATGAACTTTTTAACATTACTTTACTGACATCTCTATAAAGTGTATAAATCTCTGCATTTCTAGCAAAATGGGCGAGTCACATCCAAAATCAAAGTACTTCTTCCAAATGTGAAAAAAGTTACAGCTTTTGGTCTTTTCAAGGTTAAACAGTTTGGACAGTTTGTAACAATTTGTCATCGTGACAGTTTGATGAGTGAACATTGAGTTCACAGCAAGTTCTGCTTGTTTTAAGAAGCTTATGAGCGACAAATAAGCAGCGTTTCAGATGACAACAAAGACCTGAAGCAAATCTCTCTCTCTCTCTCTCTCTCTCTCTCTCTATCTATCTATCTATCTCTCTCTCTATATTTATATACTGTATATATATATATATATATACGCACACACAGATATAGACAAATGTCAGGTTTTGGACTAGAATTCAGTAAATCCATTAGAAAAATGCATTCTACTTCTACTTCAAGGGAAGTACAAGTGGCTTTAAAGCTTTTCTAAGTGTTTTTAAATGGATAAGAAATGGGAAAACATCTCAGGAGCTGTCCATGTGTATGTCTATATACTGTATATATCTTGTATGCAAAAGTATCTTAATTCCTTTTCAACAACTGATTTACACATGACATCTCATCAGTTTCAAAGAAAGCTACAATGCCAACACATTAACCTGAAAAGTATCTGATAAAAACTATTTCCCCTGCGGTCCTTCGTCTTTGCGTGTCTTGACTCAGACCTCAATCATTCGACCATTCCCAATTCATCTAGTCAGTTAACACTGCCCAGTCATGTGTTTAAGGAAGAGTTCCTCAACACATCCTGATTATTGTTCTTCAATCTAAAAATCCAAAAACTAACCATGGGAATATTTTAGTGTGAATAGAAACTGTCCCTACCCTGTGAGACAATAAAAGTACACTGGATATTTTTTTTACTTGAGAACTACAGCTGAGCCCCATTTCATTATTTCTCTTTTCTTATCTGCTGCACATGATGAAAAATAATCCACAGACCTGCTGTTGGATTTTCTGTCCTTGATTTCTGTTGCTATAAGTAGATCAGACAGAGTTGTTTGATTGATCAAATCCCCCTAAAACTAGGCTGCAGTCATTCACCTCAGGACACCGACAGAAACCGCTCCAACAGGAGGTGTTGGTTTAGATGCTATCTGAAAAGCTTTTTTCTCATCAGTCTTAAGTAATTTCCTATTTAGGAAGTCTTTCTAAAAGTGCATTGATTAGGGACTCGGTGTCTAATGTTTTCTTTTAATGTAAACCAGAGTTTGAAATGTCACGTTAAACAACATGTTTATTCACGCCATCATTTTAAACTTATTTTTTCATTTAAAAAAAGATTACGATAAACAGACAATGAAAATGGCGTGTATTAAATTAAGGTATCTCAAAACAGCTTAACTTAATCTTCTGCCCCAGAATGGCAAATATTTAGATATTTCTGAGAAATAAAATAAGTCCAGGCATTGGCGTTGAAAGGATGAGGAGACAGCGCCCTCATGTGGCCATTTTGTGTAATTAAGAGGGGGAAAAAAGGTTTATCCTGACCTGAAAATTGCCTGTGAGGGTGAATCTACAGCTGCGAGCCACTCCAACAATCTGGAGAGTGGTGGAGTGGTAAATCATACTCAAAGGGGAAATGTCTGCCCGAAAGGCTTTTTGATGGGAAGAAAATCCCCCTTTTCGAAAGAACTAGTTCTGTCACTATTAGTCGCTCAGAGGGTGTGTCTGAAAGGGCTGAACACATTCAGGGAACCACTCCCCTGGACAGATGAGTTATGCTCATTTATTACCTTCTGCCTTTCTCTGTTTCAGGGCGCAGAACAAGAGCAGCGTGAGGTCATTTTAATGAGGAGGAGGATGGAAATCAAGGTAAACTCGGCATGCAGTTTGCATTGTGTAGCTTCTCTTAAATGCCATGTATGGGTGTCTGCCTCAGCTCTGGTGGTTGCTGTGATGGCTTTGATTTTATTTTAAAAGAAAAATCTACATCTATAGTGTAGACAAAGCTAAAGACAACGTGTATTCACTTCATCTGTTTTAGAGTGAGGTTATAAATCCCGATCCAAGCTTTCCTAAGGCAACAAGAACACATCTGGCGATGTACACAGCGCACGTGAGACCAGTGTCAAAACTTTATTTACCAGGCAAAAGTGACACTTCAAGCTGCTTCAGAGTGAGTCATTTAGTGGTTTAATTTAAATTTTTTGGGGGGGGTCTCAGTCTGTGGGGGCTCAATTTTGAAGCCCAAGCTCAGTGGGACAGCTGAAAACAATGGCTATGCTTTCAGCTAGTTAGTAAAACCTGTTAAACTATGCAGGGTTCAGGTCTGCCCCCCTCTGTGAGGACTATGTATGCATCATAAAAACGGAACAGACGAGCCTTTCTTAGCCCCTTGGGAACCAATTCCAAAAGTATGTAGAACAAGTCATGCTTTATTACAAAAATATTCCAAATACTGTACAATGGTGTTGAACATGTGCAAAATGTAAACATTAATTAGACTTAAACATCCAGTCAACAGGAAAAAAGTACAGGAGAGTTTGAAAAATACCCCAAAGGATTTGATTGAACATTGAAGCACTTTGAAATGTTCTGATCAGAGTTAATAAACCTTCGTTTCAGCTGAGAAAAGCATGGAACTGACATCAGGACGTACAAAGGAACGCTCCAGGCCGGAGACACGGGCATCATCTACATTTTTAACAACACCGTTGATTTACATTTCCTGAATAAATGCTAGAAAAGTTGCAGGTAAACACGTTATTATGGAGACCATAATAACCACCAGAGCTTAAAGTGGAGAGCTTCAGTAGCTGGAATGTTTTTGTGGCTTCACAGAGGCAACACCTGATTCTCGAGGCCCCGTTAAGACGATGCTGAGGAAGGGATTCAGAACAGGTTTCCAGTTTCCGTCTCCTTATTGCTCCATTCGCATCCAGATGAGACTTCTCTACATTCAGTACTCGCAGCCAGTCCAGCAGCAACAAGTGTTCCGTTTTTCAGAGTCTCTCATTTCATTTGAAGGAGCTTCATCTTGTTTCCTAAAAGAAGGGAAAGGGACAGTTATCTGCTGAAAAGGAACCTTTGAAAGTCAACTGTTTTGGACTGCAGCTTACCGAGCCCTTTAAGAAATCTGTTCACACCGCTCGGCTCGGGTTCGGGGCACGAGTCCAGATACTCGGCCACTCTGGCTTCAAAGAGACCTGGAGATGAGAGCACAACACAACGCTGAGCCCGGCTCCACCTCTGGCCTCACACATGCAGAGTCCTGAGCCTCATTTGTTAAAGTGCTTCATTAGTAAACAGACGTCCGGAAAAAAAATTAGACGAGGAAAGGTTGTCTCTTTCTAATGTGACACACTAACCATTGTTTTAAAAGAAAGCCCTCAAGTAGAACGAGTCCATGTGCCCAGTTTTATTAGAAGATTCTTCTCGCTCATGAGGCCTTTGCGATCTTTATCCTGCACTCCAGGCAGCAGCATCCCCCCATAACCCGCAGAAAACTGACCTCTGTTTAGAATTTGCTGAGAATTAAGTTAGCCTTGTTTTCCATAACTCTGTTTTCAAATGTAGAGCATGCACATCACTGGCTGAAAAAAGTCCATTTGTGTTCAGATAATCTGATTAAATGAACACATTTGACCCATTTAAAGGGCTGACTGGAAACATGGTTCCCCTCTGTTAACATGAACCCTTTCAGAATTCTAATTTGTGAAGTCGATGCTGCTCAAAATCTGCAAACATTTTTAAAAGCAGACATCAGTTCGGCTGATTTAAGAAAAGTCAAGTGATCATTTTTTCATTTATATTCTGCAAAGTTTGGCAGAGGAAATCATTACGGGAAATTCTCTAATAGTGCCTTTAGTAGCCCATGCAGAGCTGTACATTTCCACTCTCTTGTTCACCGTTTAAAAAAAAAAAGGCTGAATTGCTCCTTGCTCTAAACCAACAGTCACCTCTTCCTCGGCCCTTGCGCAGCTCTTTGTCCTGGATGAAGCCGGCGAACATCTGGGTGTCCATGAAGAGCTGCAGGAACTGCCGCGCTCCGCGGGACGGGTGGGACTTCCGGAAGCTTTCCCGCTGCAGCTCTTTGCTTCCACTGGAGTTCTCGCTCATGTGGAGGGGATAGTGGCCTACCAGCTCCACGAAGAACCGGACGAAGCCCTCCGACACCAGCGAGCTCAGGTCGGCCGGCGGGCCTTGGGGGGGGACGTCTGCATTAGAGCTGCCTCACCCATTTAAAATGTCTCTCTGGGTCTGTTAGGGCGCTGGACAAACCTCCACACGTGTCGGCCGTGTCCTGGCGCAGGATGTCTTCCCTCTCCTCCAGGATCTGCTGCAGCGCCGCCTGCAGTTTGCTGGGCAGGATGCAGTCCTCATCCCCCAGCTGACCGGCAGGACAGAAAAGGGCTGAAGTGAGTCACATGACGCCGTTTACAGAAACACACATTTCATCTGTTGTGGACAGCTGTGATCTTTGGCTTCAGGTGGACGAAACCCAAATGTTTTTACATATTACTGATTACTTCCTCTGTTATCTCTAATAGTTTAGAAAAAAAGTTACTTCATAACAGGTACACAAAAATATATACTACAATTATAATACTTTGAGTATTTTAGGTGATTTAAGCATTTGTCAAGTATTTTTTCCTCAATATAAAAAGTTTTTAGCTGAAGACAAACCCATCTGGACCATATGGTGAGATTAAATATTTTCAGTTGTAAACTTTTTGAAATGTCTATAGAAGTAGACCAGATGCTCAATACGCCCGTATTGCAGAAGGTTACAGTCACAGAAAGGTGTTTTTAATAAAAAAAACACTTTGCTGCTGCTCACAATGAGTCCCGGCCATCGTTATCTAACATGTTTGACAGGACGCTGCGCTGCTTTTATGTCCCACATAGTTTTACCTCTGCTATGTGTGAGTAGTTCACTTTTCTTTGTCCCCCTCACAGAACCCCACCCAAAACCCAGCCGGGGACAAGTGCAGGCAAAGCCCTTTTCCAGTGGGACCACGCCTTCCGGTGCCACTGTACGCGGCTGACTGTGTACACACCTGAATGACAAACTTGTCTGCACACAGATCCACTATGAGCACCTGGGAAGACGACAAGACAAACACATGGCAGTTACTAACTGGAAGTTGGGTGTTGCGCAACAAGAAAGGGTGAGGCCGGTCCCGGCTACGGGGAGCAAAACGCCAACGCCACGCGGAGGCCCGGGTCACTGTAACTGTGCAGTGATCTGGTTTCTCTCAGAACAGAAGTACCTCCTCGATGGGCAGCTCCAGCAGCTGTGGCAGGCACGGTGCCAGAACACCGATCAGGAACGGGGTCGGGGAACAGCTGATGTCCAGCATGCTGGCAGGTAACACCGGCACAAACGTGTGCTGCCACGTGAACGGGTAGAGCAGCGCCAGCGCCGCGTGGCCACACCGAGACAGCACGCTGCAGCAGGAGGGGACAGAAAAGATTCAAACTACTCGCTACTCTCATAGATCAGAAAACAAAGCTGTCATGGCTCCCTGCACACTGAGAGAGAGCAGCCACATTTTGAGTGAACTGTAAGGGTCGGAAAGAGCTCTCCATAAGAAAAAAGAAATGTCTTCATGCTCTTTGTGTAATATCACAACTACCCAGGCTAAATTAACTTTCTCTGGAGGAAGGCACCTGGTCAGGATACCTTTAGAACATGCCTCAACGAAAGAAGGCCCTGGAGCCGAGATTCTATCTGCTGCTCGCCTTGAAACGTCGCCCCCTTAAGAGCCAACAGCTGTGGGGGGACCTCTACTTGGACTGTGTTGACCCCCCCCCCGTACCTGAGTTTGTCAGCGATGAAGATGACCCTCCTCTCCAGGAGAAGGGAGGCGAATACCTGCAGGAGCTTCCCAACACTGAGACACTGCAGCAGGCTGTCAAAGTCCACGTGTTCCAGTCTCGAGTCCACAGGGCGACACAGAGTCAGCACCTGGCAACAAGGGGGGGGAGGGCCTGTTGTGAGTGACCGGCTCAGCTCGATGGTTAGCCAAGCTTACCATAAATGTCAACATTTTTAGTTTTTTAGGAACTGTTGAAGCAAAGTATTCATTCTGCTGTAATTTTATGAGTCATGACTTCCTTTTTTTTTTTATCTTGGAGAGGCTGATTCCCGTCAGCCCATCTAACACAAATGGCTGTCACCAAACTGAACCCATTGACGAAGATAGCTTCAAAGTCTGAGTCTGCAGGAGGGAGTGGTTGAGTGGAGCGCAACTACTAATCAGCATTTCCTCTTTCGGTGTCGGGGTTACCTCATTCCCGGAGCCAGGGAGGAAGCTCTTGACGGTGACTGTGCGTCCGGGGGCTGGAAATGGGGCCTCCATCACGCTGCGCATAAAGGGATAAACCAGTGCTGGGGAAATTTCTCTGCGCCTCTCCACCTCCTCCAGAATCTGGACAGAAAGAGTCAGAACAAATGCTGTGACTCATTAAGGAACAAGCGCGGACTCAAGTCTGACCAATGGTCAGTGTCGCAGGACGGAGGAGACGCTGCACGCAGGCAGTCTCTAAAAACTGCTCAGGATTCATGTTTTAGTACAGCAGCCATGCTCATGCACACAATTTAAAGGCAGCAGCTTTCACACGTTTCAGAAGGATCCTTTGTTCTTCCTATCCACAGACATGTAAGCAGACACACTGTATGGTGGCTTTACCTTTGCAAACAGGTTGAAACAGCCCAGCTTGCTGACAATGCAATGCACCTCAGGGAGCCTCTTCCCCTTTCCACTGGGCTTGAAAACAACAGGTTTCACAAGTCAGAAAGCAGGCTAAAACCCAAATACCCATCCCCAATAAAGCGGCATAAAGTACACAAGCATCCCCATTTAGCTTTGACAATTTAATATTTTCAAAAAGATCGCTCTGAACTTTGGAGTGGAAGGTAAACAAACCAAGAGTCCAAAGTCAAAACTTCAGCCATGTTTATGGGAGCAAAGCTGAGCTTATCTAGCCATAAAATATCTCCAGGTTAGCACTGTAAACTAAAACACGGCCTGTGAGCGCTGTAAAAAAAACGGCGCTTATAAAGACAACTTTGCTTTGACAATGAGGCCTAAATAAAGGGGAAATTATTAAATTCTTTTTGCTTTCGGTCATCCGATTCAGAAATGGTTTATAGTCTGTGATTCACGTGTCCTCTGAGATGTGGAGTAAGCATGTGGCAGGCTGCCATGTCGTCTCACACGCAGACCTGCCGCACAAACACACATTCATACTCACCAGGATCTTGCGGCAGTAACAAAACCAGCGACTGCCGTCTTCTCCAGTCAGGACAAAGGAAAAGGTCTCACTGTGAATCAGCAGAACAAATGCTACTTAATCTGGCTGTCTGAAAACATGTAACTCGAGCTGGGAAGCATGAACATCTGCAGAATAAACTCATTATGAAAAACAACAAGCAACACTGTTGAGTACCTGGGGACTCTTTAGTTTCTGAAAGATGAAAGACTCATCAGACAAGTGTCTCTTTCAATTATCTATGCGCCATAAATAAACATTTTGAAGACAGGAAAGCATTAAAAGTAGGAATCAGACACGACACAACAAACCAAGTGAAAACAAAAAGACAGCACAATGCCCCTCAACACTTAATTAGATTTACTAGAATTATCTCTGAGGAATCACTTATTGCAGCATCAATTTATGGATAACAGCTGAGGATATCAAATAAAGGGAAGGGAAATGGGGGTTATAAACAACGCGGAAATTATTGCAGGCAACATTTGTTAAAAATACAAACAGGGTGTGCTATCAGCAAAAAAAAGAAAAAAAGAACAGCACAAAGGAAATGAAAAGAGGAAGGAAGTCCAGGCTATCGTGTCATATTCACGCTTCATCTCAGTGTAGTGTACAAGCTGACCTTGGAATGTCGGAAGCAGGCTTCCAGTCCTGGGAATCAGGGAAGCAGAACTGGGGAATCACCTTTAGCTGATCCTCGGCTTCTCGGGAGACTCGGGACGACTTCTCAAACTGTAACAAAGAGACTCAAGTTGACAATCCCAACAGGAATCCAAATTAACTGTAACCTCATTCCCTGGAAATGATTTCAGCTAGAGACTAAACCTTTGCTAAAGATGGCCAAACTGTAATTAACAACTGGCCTTTATGACCAAGGTCCTGCAGGTCGACTCAGTTCAAACCGGGAAATTCCCTTTAGGGAAACCCTTCAAGAACTGCTTGTCACGTATAATAAGAATCATCTCCACTTAATTTTCTAAAATAAGATTAAAATTCATACCAAAGTGCTCACAAACGCAATTCAACTAAAGCAATATGACAACAAAAAAAGAAACTTGGGTCTAAATGCTGGAAGACTGGCTGAATAATGTTACTGTAAAGGCTCCGCCTAACCATTTTGGGGAACTGTTGGGTAATTTCAGGGGAGTAGGTGTTTCCTGGGGAGCCTTTTCTCAGCGACACCACCACAAAGATCTGGAAAAGCTGCTGCTGCTGCAGCTGGATCAGATCTCTCTCGAGGGTGCGATATCCTGGCCGCCGTCTCAGTGTGGACTGGACGTAAACGGATCTTCTGGAACCTGCTGAACACAATGAGACAGTGGGGTAACGCTATTCTGGCCAGCAAAGAAAAGTAATGCCCTTTATATGAAATATATTTAGAATATATTTGTACATATTATGGGGGGGTTAGTTGATTCTTCTTACAAGGATTGGAATGAACCGTAATTACAAACTGCTGTGGAAGTATGGGGAATTTAACAAGCCATGTAGATGAGCTCTGAGCTTTGGAAAATGATCACAGTCTGCCTAATTTCTATCTTGTTACGGGATTGACAAAAATGACTTGATCAAACTCATATTGTAACAATGTTTATGTGCCGTCAACCAACTTGCGATTAAATTAAATGGTTGTTTTCACAATTACGAAATAAATAAAAGTACAAATTTCTTGACATTCAATGCTGAATATCCGTTTAATAGAATCTGCGATTCTGATGTCTATCAAGCACATTTCACAGGTGAGGTTTCCTCCCATTGTGGTTATGACTCACTTCATCAAATAGAAAGAGTCTACACAGATGGCGTTCATCAGCATGAAAGAAAACTACTTATACTGAGCTGGTGAACGCACAGAACTAATCGTCCTTTTTCTTGTGTCATTTCGTTGTTGCCTCTGCTCTGTGTTTGTTCTCAGGGTTAGAGGTCTGAGATGATACCTTTACTGTTGTCTTCAGGGTCACTTTCAGTCCCGCTGGTCTCCTCTGCTTGGATGAGGAGGAGGAGGAGGAGGCACAGATTAGCGGGGAACACAGGAATGGAAAAGATTTGACGAGCCATAATCAGATGCAGACAGTCAGCCTTTGTTTTATAATCAGCGGCTTTGAGTACTACAGCTGGCTTTAAGTGTATCTTCAAAAGCTGGGTTTTTCCCGCAATAGGCTCCATTTAATCTACTTTAAGTGTTGATGTGGGTGACATTTGGGCATCTGCGACACCGAGCGTGTATGTGTGACTCACCTCGCACTGAGGGGCCTTGATTCTTCACTCTTTTCCTCCCTCGTTTGTCGTCAAAGATTGTCTCAATCTTACTGACATACTGCGGAGCGGGGCGCACACACACACACACACACACATACTTGTCACCCCAGTCATCATTGCAGGGAATCGTGATATAACAGCCTCTAAGTGCATAATTAAAGATTTACAGCTTTTTTCCCCTCTTACATTCCTGTGCTCTTCTCTGAAAACCGTGAAAGAACACAGCTCAAAGTTTGAAATCAAATAAGCGACAGAATCAACAGAGGTCAATGCAGACACCAGCACACAGAGAACGCTACATGGATCTTTAAGAGCACTGCACCACTTGAAGCAGCAAACTTGTGGGACAGAACAGAGTAAGAAACTACAAACTTGAAGGTCTTTTAACTCTGTAAACATCTTTAAAACCTCATAATGCAAAATGCCTCAATATTGTAAACATATTTCTGGCTTTTATCTTACAGGGGAACGATCTACAACACATTTTCCACATCTTGCTCACAGCTACAGCACAACGGACCGACAGTTTTTGAAGTTAGAATCTATTCTAGCGTTCTGCTTTGGGAAAAATGCTCTTTTATTACCTTGTTGTTAAAGTTTTTCCCTGTCCAGCAGCTCTTAAAAGCCATGAGTTGTCTGCTCGCCCCCCAGCCTTGTGATATCTAAATTTGAGTGAGGCACTAGTGTGTTGCCTTACTCCTATCTCTTTCTCTCAGCATCTTCTTCTTCCTGTTCAACCAGTCCCCACCCCCATCTTCTCTTTCTTCCTTAAAACATGACTCATCATATAAAAGAAACATGCTACCTATGCACGACATGAAAAAGACAGCCAAAGTCTCCAGGCCATGTGAAAATAGTGGCTCACCTCAGGGGCCCTGTTGACTTTTTGGGTGCTCGAGCGACGAGGGGTCACCGGTTTAGAAGTGTTTGCGAAAGTTGAGGATTTAGATGATGTTAATGCTTGAGAGGCTTTTTTCTCCACTTTTCCGGCATATCCGTGCAACGTTTGGGGTTTATGAGGCAACTGGAGGGCACAAAATGAAGGGTTAACACTTGATTACAAGGTGACAAAGTAAATGTCTTCCCCTGTTCCATGGTCTCAGGATAGATTAGATTTCATACACCATGATATGAAGCTAATAAAAACTTCTTTTTTTTTTTAAAGCTGCTGTGAAAAGAAGAAATGATGGAGTATTTTTCTTTACCTTTGGGACTTGAGGCCTTATAGGGAGACACTTTGGAGACAGCTTGACATCCTCATAAGGGTCATCCCTGGGCACTTCACCTGAGGGCGGTTAGGGTGAAAAGGAGGATTACAAAGAATGGCTGAATGATTTACAAGGAAAAAGATTACCTGTGCAGACAAGCAAGTAAGAGCCATCCAGAAATAGCAATGGAGCATTGTTTATTATGCCTGAACACACCTGGGTGAAGAAGATGTGTGCTGTTTGGATGTTTGGAAGCAGTTTAAATTTGTAAAATCTATATAAAAGAATTAAATATTGTAAAAAATGTATATTTACTCGGTTTATTCATTACATTTTCTATAATTTGCAATTTCACTCCGAAAGTGTCAACTCAAGATGGAAGTAAAAGACACCCATTTAATGCTAGTTTTGTATTTAACAATTAACCAACTGTAGCCACACAACATGGCTTCTTAAACCCATCACTTACAGACTATATCCTCATAAATGTTGTCATCAGAGTAGGCATGGTAAAGGCTGGAGTGCACAGTCCCGTCTCCCACAGATCCGGGCTGGGCTGTCAGACGCGCCGCATCCTCATATTCAAAGGACTTCCTGCGGCAGTGAGAGAAGCCAAAGCAACAAGTAAGAGGAGTCTGGCTGTTGCCCTAAAGATAGCTGTTTTACCACTGCTGCATACTCATCCAACGTCCCACCATAAACCCCCCTTCTGATGTCAAAACCAGTCAAACGGAAAGTGTGATAAACCGTCATGGAAGTAAGTGACTGAGCATGTAATACAGAGATTGTTCACGCTATTATAGTACACGCTTCTGGCATTTACCAAGAAAAATGAGAGAGACGCTTTGGCAGAGTGCAATAACAAACTGTTACATAATTCTAGTGAGGTGTGACGTAGTCCTCTGCCCTGCGGAGGCATTTCATAATGTACAAGGATGAATGACAGCGAAAGTCCTTTGAAGCTGGTAAACATGAAACCATGTGGAAACTATGTGTGGAGATTATTAGCGGTTTTAACAGTGAAAGGGGGAATATCACATTACAATTAAAAAGAATATCTGCAAAACAAAAAAAACTGTCCTGTTTTGTCATATTCACAACGAGGAACAAAGTTACTGAAGGCATCGAATCCTACGCAGCCCAAACGCACTCACTGGAGGTCAACAGAAGCACCACATGGACATCCACACAAGTTAGTCGCTGAAAAACGCAACCAAATCTAAAACTTTTGACTTGTGGAAGGAAATTTCAGTCCGTTTCCTGTTTTTGTCTTCATTTTCTTATCGACATCTTCTTGAAGATAAAAAAAAAAAATGAATTATCTGCCATGCATCTTGAAAAGCATGACAAGCAAAATGTGGTCAAGTCAGATCACGCTGGAAGGTTTTTGTGTTCAAAAACGACAAACAATTTGGGATTTTAGATGGTATTTTACAGGGATTAAAATTAAACTAAAAGTAGGAATAATCAGAGACATTTAACAGTTAATCTTTCTAAACATATCAGATATGAATGCTGATCGTAGCAACCGACGACCTGCTATATACTCTTTTTTTTTTTTATCTTATCTGGTTTGAATGTAAGTTTAGAAGAGGAATACAGTTAGTTTTTCAAACTGACCCCCACAGGCATAGCAGCGCACAGCACTGTGACAAAACCAGGAAACCGGTGCAGAATCATACAAAGTAAAATTCAAGAAGACTTTCACTTAAGCCCGAAACAAGCCAGAGAGTGTACATTTGGAATGGCCATTTTCCTTCATCAGCAAAGCCTGAACCATTTTAGACCAAGATTCTTGTCATTTATTTTATTAATAGTCCTCCAAGTTTCTTGGGGGACATTCCAAAACTCTTATTGAGGCCAGCTGCCTTTTGTTCTGTTCTGTTCTCATAATGATCCCAGACTGCTTTAATAATGTGACGCCCAGGCTCTGAGAATGCCAGCCCATGGTGTGTTCTTCTATTTATCCGTATGTTTGGGGTCAAAGTCATGCTGGAAGATAAAGCATAGTCAGTCAGATGCTGCTGAGGTGGTACTGCACGGTGGATCAAAATCCAGTGGCACTTAATGTTATTCATTGAGGCCTCAGACAACAGCAGGTAGCCATCATGGAGGCCAGATGCAACTCGGACCCCCTGTCTTTGCCATCATAATTTGTTTTTTGTTTAGGGTTTTCACTTTTAGACGTGTTAGGTTTCTGATACACGTTAAGGTATGGGACTTAAAAGCATCCTAGCTTTTAATTTAAAATTGAAAACACTGCAGAGTACCGTGTGCTTACTATGATGCTTGAATTCCTCATAGCTTTAAGCAAAACTTAGACGAGTTGCTCCACAGAGATTGTGTGCCGGTAATTTACACTATTTTACTTGGACTCAAATGTGAGCTTGGCTGTGTTTGTTTGTGTGTGTGTGTGTGTGCCTGTTGATGACCCTGGACTATGGCTACTGAGGAACTAGGCCATATCCAGACAAAAGAGTACAAAGCTGCCAGATATCATGTGACATCATACGAGGACCACAGCCAGCAATTAAACTCCGTGACAGTATCCTCCCTCCAAAGCTGCTACAAAAATATCAACAAGGGAGAGTGACGTTTTTTAGGTCAGTTTTGCAGATATGACCCCAGTAAAAGAGAGAAGAAGAATTAAATCCAAATCCTTGCAGAGTAACATGTGCTTACTCTATGCATGTTGTCTCACCTGTTCTTTTTATGCCTTGAAAGCCCTTCGTTCTTTGTGACCGGACATGGGGGGGGAGGGAAGTTGGGTGGATGTGCTACCCTCCTGCTTCTCCTATTGGATTGGCTGACAGGGGATGGTTTTCTGTTCCACTGCACCGCTTGCCCCGTGCTTTTAGCACCAGAATACTGGAATGTGCGCAGAGGTTTGGGAGGGGCGTGAGCTTCTCCTGCAGAGCTTCTGCCTTTCTCCCAGAGGAGTCGGTCCCCCTCAAGCTTCCGCCAGAAACCCCGGGAAGTGTAGAAGTTTCCAGCAGGCATGTTGTCTTCAGGGTCATCAGATGACAGAGGTAGAGGTTCAGAAACTAGTTCAACATCCAAGATGCGACCCACTTTTTGGTCACTATAGGCAGAAAGAATTTGTTTACTTGTAGAAACAAGGGTGTTGTTCTCCACGTTAGAAGACTCAAATATTTGTGTGGAAAGCCTTTTTTCAGGGGATGTGGTTGGAAAATGAGTAGAAGTTCTTTGCAAAGGCTCCGACCTGCGACCGACCACAGCGGGTCCCACATGTGCCGGGGATTCCCGAAAATCCAGTCCATAGCTCTTTGCTTTTGAGAGGCTGGCCTTTGCATGGAGACTCCTTCCCGAGCTCCCATTTCCCAGGAGGTCTGCAGACAGAGTTCGGGACACAACGGGCGGGTGTGCTTTCAGGCCTGCGTCCTGGCCGGGGCCCTGTTGGCTGCGAACTTCCCACTGGGAGATCTTCTCCTTGATGCTGACAGCCTGCTCTTTAGCGGGGGGCCTCCCTGCCTGACGGGCCTGCCAGGCAGTGGCGGCCTCGTTCGGCAGGCGATCCGCTTCCCCGAGCCCCCGCCTCCGCTGCTCCAGTCTCAGAGCCAGCATGTTGACATCAGTCCTCCATGGGTAGATGCATCAGGGACTTCTTTGCGACGACGAACATAAATATCCACGTTTTCAGATAATTATTCATTCAGAAGAAAAGCTAAAAGTTTTACAGATGCTTCCTTAATGTCTGTATTCGTCCTCTTGTACTAGCAGAGAGTCATTTCCTCCTTGTCTCTTTTTGTAAGCAACCTAAAAAGAAGATAAGACACTAAAATTACTCCCAAAGAAATCCCCACAAAAAAAACATGTTTGGACAACACTTCAGGGTTAGAAGGACACTGTGGAAACACAAGGACACAATAACTTCAGAAACAACGCTCCTTTTAAGTGGGATACGAGAAGGACGGGTTCCTATCAAAGTTCTATGCCCCAAAATAAATTGGGATAGGAAAAGGGCAGCCAGTGACAGGCTGGAAGTTACCGCAGTGCTCTGAAGTGGTTCAGTTTTTCGAGCCGACCAAATCCTCCTTTAGCCTGAGGGGAATTCTGCATTGCTGTCATCCTAAATTGTGTTGCTGGCCAAATGCTAAATTCCAAGTGATACAGCAAACCACTGCATCTAATTTTATGCTTTTACAAAGCATGTCTTTCAGAGGATGGGGAAGAATGCGCATGTTAAGTGATTTCAAAGAACTTTTGTGGGCTTACAAACACATAAATCACAAGACATATATGACGGCCCAGTGGGGGCTCTTGATGGTAATAAGATTAACCACACATATGTACGCACATACAGAGAACAAGTGTTGGAACATAAAAGGTTGAGCTGTCTCCCAGAGACAATAAATAAATAAAAAGATACGAGACTAAATTCCTCTGCCATATGCATGACCGAGCTATAACAAAGGAGTCTGACTCATCTGATCAAAAGCTATCAAACATGAAGTGGTGAAGGTTTGTGCGGCATTAACTGACTCATATTCCCTGAGTCCACACAAATACAGGCAGTGTGTGCTCTCGCACAGCGGCTCCTTAAGCTGGAACCAAACCATCTGGACACGTTGCACATTAAGAGCCTGAGAGTATCTGGAGAAGGGGAGACATGGTAAAATTCCACAGCCCAGCTCATGATCACAATAATTCTATGAGCTGCATTCCTGCAGAGCCGCGCCAAAGGAGGGTCGGCTCAACAGACCTAACGGGAGACATCCAGCCAGCGGGTTTTGAAAGTGATGCTTTTGTTTAGTTTGACCTAAATCGAACATATTTTTGCCCTAGAATGCTGCTCCCGTCACTGGTGGACCTCTCAATGACAATGCAACTCCCAAACTGACCCACTTGCATTATTTGTCTGTGTGCGGTATGCCATACAGGAAGGCGTGAGTTGTGTTTCCTGAGCTGCAGGAAGAAGGATCAGCAGACTGTCCATAATTATGGAGCGGAGAGATATGCACCCAGTTGCAACCTCTGATTTCAGCTATGTTTAGATCAGCTTCGTTTAAACCTTGTGAGGGCAATCAAGTGTTGGCTTCAAAATACAATGAAACCAAAAAATATATCAGCCATTACTGCGCGGCCACTGAAACACCTGCTGGCGAACCATATTCTCATAGTTTTTCCTGAAACCTGACAGGGCACACAAGAAGCTGAACAACCCCGTCGTCAGTTGGCAACAAAATTAAGTCTAATTACACCCTAAAAACCGCCACAACACGCCCTCTGGGAGATGTGCGGCGTGACAGGACACGTTGTAGGTGAGGCGCTGGAAGAGGGCAGCTTATCATCAACAGTGACAGTTAATGCCATCATAAAAGAAAAATGCAGGTTTGGGGCACGCCGGCGTGAAAGGATGGAACAATGAGCAGCCTAAAAATTGACTGATCCATCACCGGGTTTCAGGACAGACCCTGTCCGGGCAGGCAGTCCCTCTGACAGCTACACTGACACCAGCATGACAGCCTCATGGTTTTAGGGGCGATTGTTGTAAACAGTAAACGTCTCTCAGCATCCTCCAGACAGACGAGGCGTTTGACGTCCAGGATTTTGCAACAGGGGTGGATTTGACGGCCATGACACGGCTGAAAGAGTCAGTTATGAATTAACGGGATATGATTGCCATACAAAAAAAATGTGGCCTGAATCAGCCCCTCTGCTTCTGCATTAAAACCAGGACACAATCAGAGAGTCAGACACAAAAACAAGCTGGATAAAAACACCCGGCGAGGCGAACCTCCCTGGAAAAGTTCTCTTACAGCTAATGAAGGCAAAAATCGAAAAAATTCTAATAAACTCAACGTGTTGAAACTACATATTTAGGGAATGGATATAAGAAACTGTTAGTAAAAGGTCGTTAATGGGTTTAACTACGTGAAAAAGATGAGTTACTTTTGTGAAGAGAAGTGACAAAAGTTGTTTTAGCCAACTTTGGAAAGCATAAACATAAGTATGCCACGTATTTATGACCAGCCACGATTCATTGTCACGTTGTAAAAAGCAGGAAAATTTAAAATAATGAAGTAAGGAGCTAAAGTGAACACACATTGTGTGGGGGGGGGGGGGGGGGGCTGTGCTGTCCAGCCAACAAAACTACACGAACGACGAAGACACGTATTTAGTTTTCTCACCGGTGTAGCTTAAGACGGTCGGTAAACCTCATTTTCTCTCCTTGTTTTTCCTCCTGTTTGAGAGAAAAGTCACAAGTAAAATCCCGTCGCGTTTCATCGTCCGGGGTGGGAAGACGGCAGCACCGAGCAGCGTTAACGGGCGACCGTTGGTGTGGCGAGCCAGGTCCCACTCAGCAGAGGCGAGCTGGTCCGGTTCTACAGTAGCCGGCCGTCCCACGGCCGTAAAAGAGACTCACTCTTTCTCAGGTAACTGTACATATCAGCAACATCTCTTTCACACGGCCACCGTGCCGAAAACACGTAGAAAGCACGGCACTCCGCGCCCTGCTTCGGAACAATTAGCGTGAAGTCCGACAGGAAAGCTATCAACTTCCGGTTACGGTTTTCAGACTAAACTCAAACAGTGACTTAAAAGAAGTGTCCTCAAGTAAGTAAAGTACACGTTTAAAGGCAAATGTGCTCCTAAATTCGTTATATAGCACAACGGTTTGTTACACAGGGTAACTCTTGGGATTTGGGCCCCTGCAGAACAACAGCGTAATATTAATGAGACAAAGAAACCCATAAAGATATAAAGATATGTTTCTGATAATTCTGACAGAAGTAGATTAAATCAATCAGATATTTGGACATTAAATGTTCAGTTCTGTTGGGAGAGATAAATACTATTTGGTTGGAGTTTGACAGGAAAATTGTGTCTTAAAAGGAAAAATACCTTACTTGTTCTCTCATTCAGGTCATAGTTAAACTGTCACTTGCTTACTTGCTAAGTTATATTGTGATCCCGAATTGACCCTGAATTGATTGCTTTGTTGACAATAATATAACTGGGGACCTGTTCACAGTTGAGCTGTCCGCTTGACTTTTATTTTTTCATTCTCCTGACTTCCTGTTACTCTCGCGGTGTTTTGGAGAAACTTCACGTAGTTTTTAACGGTGAGAAACTTTGGTTGAATCTTCCAAGAGGGAAAACGTCACCAAATCAACTCCTGCAGCTGTCAGCGATGAATAAATAATGGTGACTTCACGTGTCCTGGGAAATCCGACACACTCTTCAGCTGCACCTGCGCGACCACACACGTTCCCAAATAAGTCTTGGACTTAGATTAATCAAGTGCCCGCCCCTACTATATTTTGGCGTATTAAAAAACAGTTTTGCGTTCTTCTTTTGTCATTAGTCCTTTGTAATCAGCTCTTCAAAAGTATTTGCATTTAATCACAATTCAATCTGAACAGAATGGTAACAAATGTTCTCATCCAGTTTCTAATGGGAATGACAGAAATGGTATGAAATGCATAACTGTGGTAAAAACAACAAAAGGTCTCTTGGTATTTTACTTTTTATTTCTGTTCATTCTTCACATGTGTTTTCTCCAGTTGGAGCACACATGTTGTGTCACTTGAACAAAATGTGCTGATGATTTGAAGTTAAGACAAGTATCGAAAACATTTCCCCCTCCAAAGGAAGAAAACATCATTGTAATCGAAAGTCTGTTGCTTTAAGATTCACTTGTTTAAAAGCGACCATTAAAAAAGTCAATTAGAAATCTTTCTACATCACATTAGAGATGGTTTGTGTCCTTCCAGTTGGCGTTTAATCACTCTTCAAGCCCTCCTTGATGAGGTTGAGCTCATAGCACAGAGTCTCAAAGCGGTACGCCATCCGGATCTGAGCCACATTGGTCTTACGGATGTCATTTCCCTCTGGGCCCTCTTTCAGGTAATCGGCACCCAGGAAGTGGACCTTCTCCTGTGGAACAGAAGAAAAACAACGGCCAAGTTTGAAGAACATGTGTGTGACGTTAGGGCGGAGTCAGCGCGCGGCCATCAGATGAACACAAAGCGCTGAGGATGCAGAAACAGTCAAACATTCAACACAGTTGTGTCACCTCGTGAGACAAGCTGCTCTGCAGCACGCTGTTCTTGGAAATCTCGCACATGTCGCATGTACTCAGCTTGAAGACCTGAGCAGCAATGGCATACTCCTCCATCAGGGGCTCCTGTGAATATGAAAACACAGTTACACACTCAGACCTGTTGGCGTGAAGCAATACGTTTATCAAAAGTGAACACGAATACAAACACAACATTCTGACTTCATAAATCTGATATTTGTACACCTTGAGCTACACAATGTCCATTATAAGCAGCAAAGAATGCTTTATTGTCTCCATTATCATCAAAGGCCTTCTCTCCGGTGTCAGACCTTTGTGTAGTGGAACTGCATGGGGTCGTCGGTGGACAGAGACACCACCAGGCCTTTCTTGTGGAACTCCAGCAGGGGGTTCTTGGCATATTCAAGGAACAGGCTGTTATTGCTGAGAGGGGACATGGCGATTGGGATCTGGGCCAAGAAGTACAGATACTGCAGCACGGGACTCTGTAGAAAATCAAGATAGATATTAATCACTGACAACATCAGATTTGAAACTGAATGGAATATTTGCTAAAGCTCAGTTGTTTTGTTTTTCTGTTTTTACAGTGGTACGCTAACAGGTAATGAAGCTATTTAAGCTCTTTGTTTTATCACAGAATTGCTCATATATGTTGGTTTCAGCCACTTAGCTTCAGACTTTACGGTCTACTTTATGGTTCTAAGGGCCTAAATCTGACAGTAGAGTAAAAGGCTGTTAGAGATCTGAGCAAATGTGATGAAAAAATAAGTCTTTTCAACTTAAATAAAAGGATTTCCCTCTCATTATGTTCATACTCTCCTTCTGGATGGAGGTCACAGCTTAACTTCCAGCTACTTTGCAGAGCTATGATGCTGGCGTGATAAAATAAGAGGATGTATTTGTGTATTTTTTCAAGTTACTGCCCCCCACCCACACTCACCTTCTTGAGGTTAAGGCCGTGAGAGATGTTGTCAGCTGTCATGAAGGCGGCCAGAAGGTGGGTGACGGCACCAGCCTCGCCGCAGTGAGGCCTGAACATGAAGGTGTTCATCCCCCTCTGTCTGCAGAGAGCACCGCAAGAACGTTTGAGATGGAAAAACATAGCCGTGGTCATGGATGACATTCCCAAGAGGAGAAAACCTTCTGAGTGAGGATTGTTTTTAAACTTAAGCCTGGATTCCAATAAGTAAAGGCAAAATGAATCCAAATGAATGAACTCACCTGCGCAGCTGGTTGAGAACAGCAATGTTGGCATACATGTAGTATATGTAGTAGGTGTAGGAGGGGTTCTTAACAATGTCCCACTCCTCTGGTTTGGGGCTCTTGGTGGAGAACATGTGACCGCTGTGTTTGGACTCATCATCCACACTGTCGAAACCCGTTACCTAGGACGAGGAAACAGCTGATTATGCATTGTGGGTCCTCCTGATTTCCTGGAAGCTGTTCACACTCGGGCAAATGCAGATGTGGGCGACCTAACTCTGCATTCGTGTCTGTAAAATTTAGTATTTTTGGTTTCAGCTCTGACTCACATGCTTGAGGAAGATGCTGAGCTCTGGGTTGGACTGTGGGTCGATTGTGGCCTGGAACACGGGGAGGAAAATGTTTTCCAACATCTTGCCAAAGTGGGGCACAAAGTCTCTGCCTCTGAAGATGTCACTAAGATACAGGAGACACACGGCAAATCGGATTAACATTCCTCTAAAAACACAACGCAGGAGAAGGAGAGCGGTCTCCATCTGTCCCGCAGCTGGTCAGATTACACGGTAGAAAGAGCAGTGATTGAAAACGTACTAGATCCTGGGAACTTGAATCATCCATTTGAGATTTGGGGAGAAGACTCTATGCTTGTTGAACCAGCCGGACAGCTTGGTCCACTCATTCGGGTTGCAGCCGTAAATGGACAGACGAGGTTCAGCGTACTGATACTTGGCATCCTCCAGGTCGGTGGCTACTTCCTGGTGAAAACAAGTCAAATGAGGGTCAGTATCACTCTGTGTCTAGTGTGTGAAGGATTGTCAGTAAATCAAAGGAAACAAGCCAAAAATTCAGCATTTGCAATCATGTGATTAAACATAGAACGGAAATCTGGAAAATCTCATAAATAAATGTTAAAGTAGAACATGGAAACCAGTCTGATATAATGACACATGTAACCACAGAGCAGTTTTCCTCTTTGCGTCTCTGCATTTTAAAAGATTTCTGACTTAGAGAAAATGGCAGTATATTACACATATAGTCTTTTTTTTCTACTGAGCCATTCTGCCATACTGATCAGTTCAATCAAATAAAATCTAAGATCACAGAAAAAAACTGAGATTTAAAGGAAACACCTCTGTGAAAACTAACCTTGATGATCGTGGCAAAATATTCCCCATTGATGTGGTTTTCTGTCTTCATGTACAGGTCACGCAGTTCACTGGCTCCGACGGGGTTGTATTTGGCATTGAACTTGTCAAAACGCTGGAAAGTTTGCCTTCCCTTCACGAAAAAAAAAACAGACAGAAGAGAAAGGTGTAGGAGAAAGTGTATGACATTTAAAAAATCTTTCCTCATCCAATGAAAAGAGAGTTTATACAAATCACAGTGTCTATTTGACACACCAACTCTACTTGCGAAGTTGCATTTGTAACATCTAATAGTAGCTGTGAGGTTGGTCTCCTTTTGAAAAACCTACCGCGTGCACATCAAGGGAATCCACAGTTAGGTCATAAGGGTGCAGGTTGAGGGTCTCAAAGAGCTCTCTCATGGTAACCTCCCTCCCTTTCAGGTTGTGCACGACGCGGTCAGCATCCACACGGTAAGACTTTTTGATGAAGCGCAGCAAGTGCTTCTGGTTCATGCAGGCCGCAGCGTGGATGTGAGTGTCCACCTGGAAAAGCAGAGATGGAGCAGAAAGTGGCTCAGCTGAGGTTGATGCAATGCCTACAAATGGCCACCAGAGAGCGCTAAAACCTCAAATACGGCTCTAAAAGCAGCAACTGGAGGCTAGATGAAATTACTTTGATGAGTGAATGAGAGCAGCATATGGCTTTTTTGTGTTGCTCTTTTCACTGTTTGAGTCTCAAAAAGTGCACATTTGCTGGATTGTTACAAATTTAAAAAGTGGAGTTAAGATAAAGTGTTCTTCTGTACATCTTATTTTTTCAGAATTCATTTGTCTGCCAGCATTCTGGATGTGTTGTTCGTAATTACCTTCCTGCAGTTGTAGAAATCCCTGTGGGGGTTCATCTTCAGCTCCTTCATCTCCTCCATCTCATTCAGCATCTCATGGACGTTGAACTTAGACATGAGGAACTTCAGACGGCGGTGAGCGTAAGTTTTGCTGCGAAGCAAAATAGTGAATTAGGGGGAAAACAACACTGGGCATCAGTCATACTTAAATAGGAACGTTTAAAGGGGTTCTTACACATTCTTCTGAACTTAAAAAATGTCTGACTGATTTCACACAAACCAGCAGAAACCTCCCATTTTGAGTGAGGAAAGTTTTTGAAAACATTGGTGTAAAAACTTGGGTGCCTTCATGGAAAATTAGTATCCTTGATTCATGTTTTACTGTGGAAGTAAGTTGTACGGAGTAGGGCAGGTGACATGTTTAGAAAGCTGCTTAGGATGATGGATTTCTATTCAATTCTATGGCAGGAATGATGCTGGGGCCCTTCTGTAATGCTATCATTCATTCATGTTAAGACTGTTAGAGAAATTGTCGGTGAAAGTGTAAAAATCTTGGCAATTTGAAGTCAAACTGTCAGGGAGAGAGCCGTTCTTAAAGGACTCACGTGGGACCCTGGGCGATAAGAGCAATCAGGAAGTTCATGTCGTCGATAAAGGTTTCGTAGTTGGCGTGGGGGAGGTCTTTGGGCTGATGTTTGTCAGCAGCTGCAGCGTCGTTGTACACGTAGATGAGGCCGTCCTTCATACGGGCCACGTAGCCCAGATTCTTTGGCAGGTCCTTGGTGTCGAAGGGGTCCTCCCCATTCTTTGGTGGAGCAGTGAAGACTGAAGACAGATGCAACACATGAGCAAGATACCTGGGGGGTCCGAATGCGGCCCATTCAACAGTGTGTTTATCCTCGTACCTGGCTGCACCTCATCGTCAACTTTGAAAGTCTCTCCCTCCATTTGACGCAGGTAATGGGAGGCTGTCCTTGGGAAGCGTTGATAGGCCAGCCGCATGTATTTCTCCCTGATGTTCATGGCTCGGTACAGACCCCGACACGACAGCTCAAAGTCATCCATGGTCACCTGGTGAGCACATACAGGAGATTAAACAAAAACCTCAAAGTTTCAAGATTTGTACTCACACAAAGTGATCAATTCGGTAGTATCATTATTGAATCAGTGTCTGGGGTGGAAGAACTTAAAAAGCAACCCTGTAGACCCATTAGGAAAAAGCCGGATGCTCGATTGATTGAATTGTGTTGGTTATATTGGCTGGAATTGCTAAAAAATCCCTGTAACATTTTCAAACAAATTTGACACAAGTTAATCAAACAGACAGGAGGTCAAGAAGGAACAGATTTTTTACATTCTGCATGTATGTTTTTCTTTTTGTTTTTCGAATTTTGCTTTCTCTTGTGCTGCTACATGAGCAGCCAGTTGCTCCCAGTGACTGTACAGTATCATGTGACAGGAAGACCTGAAGTGTATCCTAACAGATGTGAGGCCCTCTACCCTCTGCACAAAATGATAGCCAGCTCCTCTAAAGTTTTCCTCTCGCTGATCTGTAAATGTCAAACATACAGTCGTGAAACCTGAAACTTGGCACGGTCTCAGAAGAGCTCCATTCTTGGGCTTTTGGTGGCGGGAGGCGGGCTGGGTGGACACTGACCCACAGACGCATACGGTCAGTGAAATTTAAAGTTAACACATGTACATCCATGAACCTGACCCATGTTGCTGGTAACATGTGATGCAATGGTTAACAGGAGTGTATGTTACACACGCTGTCACCAGTTTTAACCCTGTGTCAAAACTTTTTTAGGTTCCTCAGACTTCTAGGAACTAACGCCCCATAATGAATACTCTTTACAACGTCACAGCATGGTTAGCATACTCTCCAAAGAAAGTATTTTGGCAAATAAAAAAATATAAAAAATCAATGCAATGGAAATATGGAAACAAATTGCCGCTTTGTTACTGTTGTCTTGACCTAATTTGTTAGAAATCCCATTATAACTAAAAGATCATTTATCCAGTTCATGACATGCTACTGTGAGGGCAAAAAAGGTTTGGTTTATTAGGTTATCGAGATAAATGTGATTATGATGGTTCCCGTGTTAACACCTAATTATATCTTTCACACTTGCCACTTAATCTGCATCTGTGTGCTGCTCTTCAGTTTTTAATTAATTTTATGCCCCATGAAAAGCATTTTAAGCTGCCTTCTTGTATAAAGCTGCAATATCTATTTACCTTGCTTTTTCTTTAATTAATTGTCTGTAATCTGCCATTTTAGTTGTAGCCATGTGTGGTCAATCAGCACATTTTCTGTACCATCTGCGAGGAAAGGAAAGATCAAGTACCCCTGATGCATAGTCTCCAATGATGGCAACCCTCTGGAAATCAGGAACTTCCAGGTAGGTGGGCGTGTCCACCTCCACGGACACTACAGGGGCGGCAGCGGCCTGCTGGACGGCGGCGGGCACAGCGATGGTGCGGCTACGCTGATGCCTCTTCCTGTTGATTAGAGGTGAGGCTTAAAGATCAGTTCACCCACAGTCAACGGTTTGATTCATTGAGGAAAGCTCGCACAAGGTGATCCCTCAGCATCCGCCTCCTCACCGTTTCTCCGCGTCGTCCTCAGTGTGCAGATGGTGGGCCAGCTCGTGGTGGAGGATGGGGCAGTCATCGGCCACGTCGAACATGGAGATCTCGTCGCGGGTGTTCTCGTCTTTGGTCTCCGACGCAAAGACCTGCTCCGCGAAGGCCCTCATGTTGTCATCGGTCTCTGTCGGTCGGGCCACAGGGTTTGTCCTCGTTAATAGGGGCGATGCTTTTCCGGCCCCCCGTCACGCCATGCAGCACTAAAATCCACCGGGCCAGCCACATTTAGAGACATCTCAGGACATCTAAACTTTAGAGTTTCAATGGAGCTGCTGAGACTCGTTAGATCCACCACGGGTGAATCCTGGACGGGAAGTTCTATGTCTACAAAGCACATACCTGATTCCACCACAGGTGAACAGACTCCAGCACATGCGTTGTACACAGGACCAAAATTGGACTCGACCGGTCTCATGCACACAGAGAAGCTACACAAAGCACTGACATACACAATAAAATACGGATACACAGACTTTACTGTTCAACTCCAGACCCAGTTTTCTTTTAATCTTCATTTTTGAACTCGGCCGGCACCAGTTAATGAATCATTTTCATTGACAAAAGTTAAGAGAAAAGAGGGTCAGTGCCTGAAATGGCAGGAGTTGATTATCTGGGCTGTATGGAACATGTAACATGTAACTAAAGGCACATAAGTGCTGCTTACATACAATCACGTCACGAGAGCCAAGGCTGTCTACTCTAAGACAACCACAACCTTTTCTATCATCAACCTTCGTACTTACTCTCTTGACCTGATTATGCCCATCAGGATTGTGGAACCAGCCAGGAAAAAACCCCAGAAAAGAGTGTTAGAAAAGCATTGGTTAGAAAGGATGAAATTAATGGTGTTATACACTGATGTGCATTCACAATTCAATATAATGGAACAAATATCCTTAGCATTGAACCTCCTTAGCTTTAAATGCACATCGTTGGTATCAGTACCAGTATAAATTAAAAAAAGACATGCTATAGTCAGTAATGGGGACATGTGTGGTGAATATGAGGGATTAAGGGATGAGAAAAGATGAGAATGGATAATGGAGAGGATATGTGACATAACAGGGAAATACAGTTACTTCGTTAAATGCATATTTAATCTATTGTTTCCTTCTGAACCGAATGCAGCATCTGGACAGAGAGTTGGTAAATGCGTTTTCATGACACATGCAGAGGAACATTTTCCCTCCGGTAGAGCGAACACATTTCGAGTCAAATGTGCAACATACTGGCGGGATACTAAACCAGGTAAATCTACACCATTTTGAAACTTTTTCATGCATGTTTGCATGTCATCGTGGCCTCCAGCAAAAGGCAGCCTGTTCGATCTTTCACATCTCAAACCAGTCTGAGGGAGTAAAGGATGAGAAATTCATTTATTAAAGTAGACGTTCACTTTCAGTTTGTTTGTTTGTTTTTTTCTGGATCGGTTTGCGATGCCATTCATTTTTTCATAAACTAACAAACAATTGAATGTGAACAGCTCATTAATAAATGGTGTCCAGTTCCACTTTGATATACTTTCATCAGCTATTCATTTAATCTAACAAGATCCATTGAACTATGTTGCATTCAAATGCACAGAAAGAAATCCGATGTGACCATCTCACATCTGCACCGGGACCCATGCATTTGATTTCTACACGCTGCTTTACAAACTCCCTGATTGTTTCCCAGCTTTGGTACTTACGTCCTCCCTCTGCCAAAATGCCCCAGCCAGGGTGGGACAGTCCAGGGAAAATGGGGGAAACAAAACACGATGGGTTACACCTCAAAAATAAAAAGTGTTTGTCATATAAAATTCCTGCCGACAGACAGTTACTTTAGTTTAGTTTAGTTTTAAGAAAAATTGGGTTTTATTTGATTTCCTCTGAGGGTGCACACTGGCTTTAGCAGGAGCTTTGAAATGCAGATGCATCTCAGTGTGCTGGTGTAGCCTCCCAAAATACTTCTGATAGCACACTGACTGTGTTGGATACCGGTCAGGCTTCAGGAGATCTTCTTTCCAGATGAAGGAAGAGTGACTGTAACAGGGATCTGATACTAATCACTACTAAACAGCTGCATTCTGGGCACGGTTTGATCATCCGCTTCACTGAATCTGAGCATGGAAATTCAAGTTTGCTGAAAAGAAGCAAATACCTGGATTTTGGGACGCAAATGCAGCAGGAACTTTTTAACAGTGAAAACTGGCCAAAGCAATGTAGAAAACAATTACATGAACTTTTTTATCTTGGTTTTCACTCCTGAGTTGTGAATATTTGCTTTACATCTGTCACATGTAGAATCTGGAGCATGATGCTCAACATCATGTCTCATGAACATTTTTCCAAACAGAGAGATCATTCCCTAGCAGCAGCAGCTCAGACCTTTGCATTTGCACTGCAACCTTTGGAAAACCCTTGACAGTGTACTATGACTTGCCAGATGCCTTTTGGCTGTTAAAGGCAAGCCTATAATTAGTAATCGTATCAACAGCGTTTGAATTGCAGAAATTGCCAAGCTTTTCCTGCACTCATTTTAAAGTGATATGCCTTTGAAGCCCCCTTAGACCGGGCCATTCTTCACTCAGAGAACTACTCAGGCAGTCCTGCAAAAAAAGGGGGTTTACTATCTGATGCTGTGGAGTAAAAAGCAGGAGACTTGTGATACGCACACGGCTTCTGGCAAAGCATCTCAGTCCTCGAACATAAAGTTGGTGCTTCATCATGTGTTAACCAAGACATCCCGTTAAAAAGTGAAAAAAATAATTCATTTTGGATCTTTCATCAGTCCCGGAAAAACTTTTTAAAATGTTTTTTTTAAAATCGTATTCATCTTCTCATTCATGTCGTATAATAAGAACTCAAGTCCAGGGTCGCCATGTCTAAAACTCACCTGGCACCAAGACTTTAGGCATGGTGATGCTGTTCCAGGGATCTGCTTCCTGAGGTCTGCTGAAGGGTGGTCAGGCACTGGACCACTGTAGTGTGGAAGTGTGGAGCTGAGCGCCTGGTGAGCGCGGTATTAAACTCCCCCTGCCTCACGTGTAACGAGAACCTGCTGTGCCCACAGGAACATGCCTTGATGTAATAGGGCCCTGATATGTGTTCACATCTATTTTAAGTGGTCTATGTGTGGCCAGGACCCTCAGACAGGCACGATGTTTTGACAAAGAGACGGGCATGTGCCTACGACGCCATTTGTGTTACATAACATCTCGATAGATGCACAAGTTGCAGAGAACTGGCCGGGTCACTATTGGGATGGTTGCAGGTGCGCTGTTTCTCCTCATAGTCAAGACAGACTTCTTTGTGAGATGAAAATGCAAAGGTTTTTTTTTTGTGTTTTTTTTTTTAAGGTAAAGTTGTCTTTTTTCAACAGCAGCTGGACAGGGAAGTGGAATGGATTTTGCTAACGGCCGACGATTTGGACTCAATATGGACCAGCTGATACAAGGCACTCGAGACTGGGCGGCCCACTCAGGCATTTTAGTTGCACAGCACCCTGGACAGTGATACAGTGTATCCTAAATCATAACGGCCCATTTGGGAAACCTCTCAGTGAATTTGCAAAGCAATTAATAACTACAAGCAGCTGGTTTGAAACACACAGCAGGCATGTTTTGTTGCCTTCACAAAAGCATCTAATATATGTTAATTTTTTAGCAAAACATCCCAACATCTTCAAAAAAATGTTTTTTTTTTAAATAACGCTTTTTACAGATCTGTATTATTGGTCAAAATCTTGTGAAGCTTCATGAATTTGTAAAAAAAAAACCTTCCAATACTTTTAGCATCTGGCTGCTACATAAGGTCTAACTTATTATCAGTCATTTTTATGTGAGTAGTAGGGATTTCCTTGGCCTGAAAAAATCTTTGATGAGCCAAAGATCCCCTTCTTGAGGGCAATGTTTCCTAAAACGTTAACAGAACCACAATGAAATTCTAAAACATGGCTAACTTAAAAACTATTTATAGAAAGGAACATTTACACTAAGTGATAACAAAAATGCTAAATTAGCTGTAGTGTACTGTAGAAAATATTCAGAGTATTTAAAAAAGTGTAAATCCTGTTCAGCTATTCACATGGCGAAATGTATGAGTGGATGTGACAAATGACACATCTGTCCATGTTGAATTGGGGCAGATCCCCACCCCGACCTGAAGGGGGTCTCTGCTCTGTCAGTGGGCCGACACAGAAACGGAAATCTGTGTCTGGTCATTTTGACCTGTTTTGTAAATGTTACAACTGGAATGGGGCTTTTATGTTAGATAGTTTTCGCTATGCTTAAATTCAGTTGCCGTGGCGATAGCAAATGGCCCTGATAGTGAGAATCCCCCTCTCCTGCTTTATCGCGAAGTCAATGATGCAGCTAAAGTTCATGTATAAATTGTATTTTTTACATATGATCACAATCATTCCAATCGGGAGGATTTGGGATTACTTTGTTGAACTGTTTTAAGTGAGTGTTATCAACCGAGGGAAACTAACATAATTCAGAATAAACGATTTTCTGATGTCTCAGAAAAGGAAAATTTTAAATTCCACAAATACTCTGCATGCCTTAAGGCAGTTGTAAATATCTGTCTTTTCTCACAAACGTAGGCTGTGTGATGATCATGTTCGAGCAGCTTGAGTACACTTAACTGAACATCTATTTTTAGGGAATGTGATCCTAAATGTCAAAGTGCAGCTCGCAGTACTTCTAGTTAAAGAGATCAAGTTAGTTCCAGACAGTCCCTCGATTCAGCCCTGGAAACCTAAAAAGGTAGACAGGAGTTTTTCTAACTTTTGAAACATGAGTCAGAGCACTTTGAAATGACTGGTAGTGAAGGCCCAGACATTATATTCCAAATATCTAGACTGAAGCGTTTGAGCCCTTGGCACGGCTCTAATTGATACAAAATAGCTGATATTTTGCTGGGATTTCTAGGATCAGCGATGGATTGATTTGTTTCATGCTTTGTGAAGTCATTGAAACTTTTTCCCTTCCTCAGAAAATAACGTGTAAAAGTCAAAATGTGATTATTTTCCTTTAAAAACTGACCATCCACTCATCTAATCTTGTCTGACAACGATATCAAGCTTCATATTGAACGCTTCCCTTTTACAGAACAAATGTTGCGCCAAAGGAAAATTTAATGGGCCCGTTGAATAATTTATTATTTAAGAAAAGTACCAGCAAAAATTAAGGGAAACATGCTTAAGTACTTCCAGGAATTCCTTTTAGTTGTCTGGTGTGAGCAGTCTGTACTCGACCGTGAACTTGAGAGATTAGCAGAGACTGGACTTGGTTTACACCGACCGGAGGGAGCTGGCAGTCCAAGTTCGCCCATCTCAAATTTCCCCTATCATCATCAGCCACTCTTGACATTACCAGATCCCAACAGGTGCTCCTCTGTCCAGCCTCTGTCCTGGAAGTCCTTTTTATTTGGCTGGGCAGAGGTTTCCCTTGATTTAGATTTGGATGGTCAGCTTCAAGGACCATTTAACATCGAGTAACCCTCATAATATTAACCTTCCCAGATGTAGAACTTTGCTGACAAAGCATTTTACCAGTCTGTGTCCTGAATTTTGTTTTTTTAGGCTTTTTTCACACGTATGAGGGGCACCTATGATGCTCTCAGTCAGTCCCAAAGCGAAAACCTCGATCGTTAAGCCCATATCATAATCATTTTATATCTTTTAATTTGGGTAAATTAATCACAAAATGACAGAAAACATTATTGGAGTTTACAAAAATGTTCAGCGACCAAATTAGCCTCATTCATTTCTACCACTGCTCTGAACTCTCCATCTATGGAGTCATGATCAGCTTTCACTGAAACAGCAACCACCACTGAAACTACCACCACTATATATTGTATTCCTTCTGTGTAAACCTCCCATTTGAACAGGAACTACATGTTCTCCACAGGATACATGTCAGGTGAGGAGGTTCCCCAGTCGGTGTTCGGTCACTTTTACAGCCTCTGCCAGCTGACCCAGCCTCCCTGGAGAGCACGTCCTGTTAAGATGCTTGACGTCCCACAAACTGGCGACAGGGTGAAACGGTCGATTTGAGTCATTCTTAGAGAGCAGATAAAGTCAGGACCCCGGACTTATGAGTCTGACACTGGGATTGTTGCGTTTCAGGTTTCACGTACATACGAGCCCTTAGTATTTTGCAGTTAAACTGAAATATTTACCCCTCAGACCACATTAAAACTGCAGCATCATGACGAATTCGATGTTCTTTGCAGTATACAGGAGGGACATGTTTTAATAGGTTTTATGATGATACATAAAGAAATGGCTGAGGAAAAGGTGAAGGGGAAAGCATACGAGGAGTCACACATCCTGTTATGGAGACAGATGTCGAGAAAAGAACAAAAAAAGGCAAAATATCAAATAATACATGAAAGGAAAGTATAAGAATATCAACATACATTATGTTACTATCATAGTATTTTATATATATATATATATATACATATCCAAAGACTGTGCGACTGTGTCTCATACATATAAAATATAATAATGAAAACATTAAATCGGGCTCGTGATCTGTTTCTTCTTTAACCTTTCCTCCAGTATCACCAAGCTGCCCTCAATCTAACTGCTTTTTTTTTTCCAAAATGGAGATCATGAGATGGGTGGGATCACAAACTGTCCCTGGTGGGGACAGGAATTCTAATAGGCCTTAATTGCACAACTTTTCCTCCCAACCAGAGCATTCCCAACCAGAACGAGCAGCATCCACACAGCAGAGTGGACAATAAGGAAGGATCTTACAAACTTCTGCCAAAAGCGGTCCCAAAAACCTTTATGAACTGGTGGATTAAGGATTTGTAGACGGTGACGCAGCCGTCCTCGGGCTTGACTAAAACGTGATGGGTAGACAGATTACAGCGAATGGTAATTGGGGTAATTTTGCTGTCTCCGCTACTTCCTCCGGCAGAGTGGACAGGAGCCCCAGTCTGACGCGCCGCGCTCCGCTTCGGTCTTCTTAACATCTCATCCTGCGCACCATGGAGGTGAGAGTGTGTGTGGAAGGCATCCCACGCGTTGTCTGTGGGGTCACAGAGGAGACGACATGCCAAGAGGTGGTCTTAGCATTGGCTCAATCCTTAGGTACGTACACGGTATGCTTCACCTTCGGCCTATTACGAAGAACTATTGTTTTTTTAACTTTTTGTTTCCTTTTAGGTCAGCCAGGCCGCTACACTTTATGCGAGAAATTCAAAGACTTCGAGCGTTGCATGATGCCTGATGAGCATCTTCTAGAGACCCTGGAGAAGTATAGCGAGCAGGCCAGGGATGTCCAGCTCACCCTCGTCCGCAGGGGGCCGTCCGTCTGGGAGGAGGCGAGCAGGCCAAAGGCCGGCAGGTACCAGCCCTGCCCGCCGCTCCGACGCAAGGACGCCGTCGCCAGGATTCGGAGGGGCAGCAGCTCGCTGAGTTTGCATCGTCAAAGCCTGCCGCCGCTGTCCTGCTCCAGACAGGAAGCCGAGCAGAAACCCGAGGAGCTGAAAAGGCCCAAAAGAAAGTCCCTGACGCTCATGGAAGAGGCCTGGGATTGGCTGGAAAGTCTAGGAAGAGTCAAGGTCTACAGCACCGCCTGCGATAAGGACAGGAAGAAGAAGACGGATAAGAGGAACCGGAGGTCTTTGGACATGTCTCTCAGTATGGAGAAAGATGACTCAGCACTAAGCGGCAAAGGTATAGTCAGAGGACAGAAAGGCTTAAAGACAGACTTGGACCACCAGACGTCCTGCTGTATAGGAAGTAAAAGCAGCGGTAAAGACATCAAACACTCCAAAAAAGCACTAGAAGTAAAAACTGAAACTCCAGACGAGAAGACCAGTTTAAGGGAAACCGTCCTCCGCCAGCTGTTGCGTTTGCAGGACTTACAGCTCCAGATAACGCACACAGACCAACAAATATTTGAGCTCGAGGAAAAGCAGAGGGCCAAACGAGCTGAGTGCGAAGCCCAGGAGAGGCTGGCAGAGGAGGAAATAGAGCAGATCAAACTCTGGGAAAACGAATTGAAAGCGGAGGAAGGTTACGAAAAAGATCTGCAATGCCAGTTCCTGGAGATGAAGGCGAGGGCCGGTGAATGCAAGGCTAAACTGGAGGAGTACCGGCACAAAATGCGGGGGCTTGACCTTTTCAGTGGCCTGAACGTCGTTCCAGAAGATTCCGAAAGGGTTTCGGAAGACGACGCGATAGCTGCCGTGCCCGAGGAGGACGCGTATCTACAAGGATCTGAACCGCACGGGGAAATAAACATTAACAGGAAGGTCCAGCCCAGGGAGGACGCCAGCCCTCGTCACGCCCCAGTTCCTCCCAGCCAGATAAAGGAGCGCCGGCCCACAGGACCCACAGAGCTGAGAGAATGGTGGACTCGCTGGTCAGAGGCCCAAAAGGCTCAGTCCCGGCCCAAGAAGGTGATCCACCGCTCTGAACTCACTATATATCTGGGTAGCACCAAGGTTTAGAGTCATCAGGGGGCACCAATAAGGACTCAGCTCTGAGGTGACCCCATTGGGATGAAATCCTCCCTCTACTGCATCATTATCCAGGGACAAGGACGCATGTTCTTTTGAAACCAAAAGCTTTAGCCTGTTTAACACCTCGCTGTAACCCAAACCTCAGTATTGCAGTTTGTATAAAATTCTGACATTTTTTAAAAAATCTGTGGGAAGTTGCAGTCCTGTGTGGAGTTTTTATGATTTAACTGTTTGCACACAGCACACATCCCGTCTGATTCTTTTGTCTAAAAATATATATTTTTAAAACATATTGCTTAACCATTTTCCAAACATTCCCTTCCGTAACCGGGTGAGTGTTTTGTTTTTAGTTTTAATCACATACTGAAGATTGTGTTAATATTCCTCTCTAAAAGAGTTTTATTCTCACACACAGACTATCTTTTCTTGGCTAGACTAATAGAACCTAAGGCCATTTCCCTCCCTCAAATCAATTCGAATTAAATTTCTTCCCCGGCTTCTTTGAACAGTCTTTATTTTCATTAATACAGCATCTTAAAATGAGACCCAAAGCACAGCGATTTTCATAGAACTTTAATCGTTTCATTCAAGACCAATAACAAAAGTACATGGGGACCTCTGTATGTGGTTCAACTGAAACCCGGTGATCACCAAAGAAATGTTGACTGTAACTTAATGTGCAGAAGCACAACAGCTCACCCAGCTCGTCTCCAGAGTCCAAAAACTGACAGCCCCAATCATAATGCTTTACCCCCCCCCCCACCCCCAAATGGATTTCCTCATCTTTTCTCTTTTTTTAAATTATTTTTTTCATTATATTTGAATTTTTAACTTTCAAAGAAAAAAAAAAAAAAAAAAAAAAAAATGGAGAAAAAAAAAGAAAAAGCACACATTACATACAGTATAGATCAACCCACATGTTTGGGATGCATATCAGTATTATTTTACTAGGAAAAAAAATGAACACAAAAAAAAGCCACCCTAAGATTGTTCTTAATATTTGGTGGTTGGCTGGGAACAGAGGATGCATCTAATTTTTATTGTTTTTTTTTTGTATGTTTTTTTTTTTTAAAGTTTCATTTTGCTTGTGGTTTTTAGGCACCTTATTCTTACTTATTCAATATTAGCAGATCGAGGTTCAAAGAAAAAAAAAAAAGAACAAACAAAGAAGCAAAAGTATGTGCAAGAAAAGAAAAAAAAAATTGTATAAAAGAAATGCAGAGATAAGATGCCATAAGGAATTCTGCACCTGGGACAAAAATTGCTTAAGTGAAGCATATGAATACCGAAAGGTATCAAGGCTCTAGGCTGGTAAAAGTAAATCCCATCAGAGTAACTACTTTGACATTCACATACATCACAAACACACACCATGCTTTCACTTTAGTTCTTCCGTAAAGCATTTTAAAAACTGCTCAAAAAAACCGAGCAGAGAAGAATAATCAAGTTAAGCTTGCACATATGAGAAATATGATCCTCCTTATGGAGGGAACTTTGCTCTATGCATTTTGTAGGAAAGCATACAGTAGAGGAAACCTGATAATGAAATAGTTAGTTTCCATGAGTAGAGGAGCGTCGGGAACGAAAACGGAGCATAGGTTTAAAGACATGCTGACAATCGCACACATCCAAAACAGTCAAACTAATGGACAGAGTTCAGGTGCAGAATTCCAGACTAAGCAGATTCCAAAGATCAGGACATGAACAGCCACACAGTCGTCACTCTGATTTAGAGGGACAAGGCCCTCAGAAACAAATAACTCCATTACACACTAATCACCTCTATGATACACCACACACACACACTCACACACACTCACACACACGCACACACACGCACACACACGCACAAACACTCGGAGTTCCCATGTACACTGCAGAGTGGAACTATCAAGTACATCATACATGGGAGGCAGGGAACAGTGGAATGAGAGAGGTTCCCTTGCAGGTGTCAAAGGGGGCAAACATTATACATGTTAATGGCTGCATGTGTGCGTATGATCTGTGGATGAGGTGGTGTATGAGCATGTGTCAAATCACTTTCCCTTATCCCCCACTGTTGATCCTGGGGCTGAATCCTACCAACGCCAAACGGGGCAGGCTACATGATGCTCAGTCAATGACGCCAGGCTGGCGGGTCTTGCGTTCCACATTGAAGCCCTGCAAACGACAGGACGAGCACATTTACAGGGCCTCCATCTCTACCACGACAATGTTTCAATCCATTTCCTTCAAACTGTGTTTGTGAGCAACGCTAAGAGTAAACAGGACTTTGCAAACATTTGTGACAGAGGAAACTGCACCTTTGAGTTGTCAGGGCCCCGGGGCTGTCTCACGATGACCAGACGAGGAGCGCTGGCATCATCGAGGGTGATGCTCTTCAGCCGGTTCACCAGGCGGTCGGGGCGTGGTGTTGCCACTGGTTTAGGCCCCTCGCTGTTACGTTGGGCACATAATAAACATTCGTTCGTTCAGACAAAGCTAGTTTTGGCAAATTAAGAAGTGAACTTCCCCACCAGGGGTGCTGGGAGTGAAGCCTGTGCTCTGACCTGACTCTGCGTACGTTGCAAGCACTACATTTTCCTGTGCGCTGGTTAAGGACCACTGAGAATTCCACCTCGTCCCCAGTCTGGAGCTCCAGGCCGTCCTGCACTTCCTTTACATGGAAGAACAGCTTCTTGCTGTCACCTACTTCGTAAGTGATGAAGCCAAACTGGAAGCGATAAAGAAAACACAGGATTTAAAGTCTTGAGCAACACTTGCATGAGATCCAAATGATGAAATCGAGGACCAGTTAGCATTACCTGGTCTTTGACACATTCCACAGTGGCTCTGCGCTGAGGGACCACATTACAGGCCATCTTCTGGCCAGTTTGGGTAACTGTGCACACTTGGAACTTTACAAGTTCTCCTTTTTGCAGACAATCTGACTTGTTTCCCATTCCCATGATTCCAAAGGGGTAGGTCGGCCCCTTTCCACCACCTTGGCAAAAACAGAAGAAAAAAAAGAAATTAGTTACTTTCCCTTCCCCAAAATAAACCAGAATGCTCTAAACCTCGGGCCACTGTTAATGCGGCACCAACCTTCCTCTACGACTTCAATGAGCCCCTGGTATTCCGTCTGTGAGGGATCCACACTGCGAATGGGACGGATAACTTTCCCCGTCATCACTGAAGCACCAATATCATCGCCCGCAGTGTTTACTGAAAGCATATTCAAATATCTTATAAGCACTGATATAACACCATTTCAAAGTAGACTCTAAAAAGAACAAAGCTTCTCCTACCTGGAGCCACCTTTGTGACCTTTTCAGCACTGACTTTGTTTCCTTTTCCCTTAGAGAGACTGTACTCCACTGTGTCGCCCAGGTCCAGGTTATCCAAGTCTCCACACATTTCACTGCAGGAGGAACACGCATGATATCAATCAACGGCTCTTAATTGTTCAGGGCATAAGTGGTTAACTTGTCTAAAAGGCAGTGTTTGTACTTAAAAGCAGTACCTATAATGAAAGAAGATTTCTTGGTCGTGGTTTGCCGTCTCAATGAAGCCAAAGTTATCTTTCAGAGCGGCAATAAATCCGTGCAGTCTCTTGGCGTTCGAGGCATTACGATTGAGGAGCCTGATGGTGACCGCACTCTGTAGGCCAGTTCGCTTCACTTCGTTGATCGAGAACTCCACCTAGTGGACAAACATTCAAAGTTCATGGCAGCGACAACTACAGAACATCAAGCATGTACAATTCAGAGCATCAAAAGCAAGGTCTCCAACAATAGGGGCTCAGCTAAGAGGAAACTTTGTGCTTCATTTCTAAAATATTTTTCTAATGTCAAGTTAAAGTCACTCATTAGATACCTTATCTCCAACCTGAGGATGACCTCCCTCCAGATCCTTAACATGGTATGGCACAGTGAGCTTTACCCCGCAGTCTTCATATGCAATTACTCCTTCGTCAGCTTCCTATAGATGGAGCAACAGATCCAACTCGTCACTTATCCATGTATAAGTAGTGCTAAAGTTCACTTCAGGAGAGGCCAACTGTCTCACCAATGAAACAAAGTTTTTATATCGCACCACCTCAGATAAGCTGATCTATTGAAAGATTAACCCATACATTTCTTTGTTAGAGGGAAGTGTGCATACCGTCTACACAGGAGCAAGGGCAACATGTATATGCAGAATGTGCAGTTCCTGTAGCAGCGCAGGTGGTTAGCGCCAAGTTGCAGCCTGCAATGAGCGACTGCAGGATTAAGTCTAAACTACAGGCAGCGGGAATTGGTTGAACCAATCACAGCATGCAATCTATTGGCGTTTTAACAGGACGAATTAAATTCTAACCAAAAGAGCGATTTAAAAATGGACTGGGTAACTGATAAAAAGAAAATGGACAAATTACTTCTGTCTCTCAGTTTTGAGATCAGAGAAATACATGATGTGTTACATGATGACATGAGCTATTCAAACAGAGATGCTCCATTTAATTTTAAATGAGCAGCCCTACAACTTAATGGGTGGGCATCATTGATTAAACATTTTCAAAGGTTAATCGTGATCAAAGACCATGCCGTCAACTTAAAATCAGTGGGTTGAGGACCTGTAAGAACCAAATTTTTCTACAAATTTACCTTTGTAAAATAAGGAAAAAAAGACATTCATTAGACAGCGAGGTTTGTAAAAGTTCCTTAAAATACAGAATACATACTGTACACAGGACATTTGGTCTGTTCCTGACTTCCAGACAGGACAGATCATGTAAATAAAGTAAGGCTATTCTTTTTCTAAAAGTTAGTCCATCATAAGGTAGTGCTGGACAGAAAAATTAGTGCCTTCGTTTGTGAGACGTTATTCATGAGGCTTCATGCAAGTCTCAGTCCTACCTTGTCTTTTTTCTAACCAACAAGAAGCATGAGCAGGACGTGGTCAATAAGGGAGAAAACAAAGACCAACATTAGAACTAAAAACAGCAACTGAGACGGGTAGATGGGGATAGCGCTGAAGACTAAAAGGACTTGAAATAAACAAAATAATAAATAAATAAACTTGGGGGGAGCATATCTGCGTATGGTATGTGAAATGGTACCTTCTCTTTTCCCTTGGTGGGACTTGCATTCTTGTTGGTGGCTGCCATAACTTCCTTCTCCACCACGCCAACAAAGCGTTGCTCAGACTGAGTATGAAAGGACACCGTCCCTTTGGGGAGTTTCTTAATACGCACGGCATGGTTCCTCTGAGCTGACAGCATATCCTGGAAAAACCAGGACATTTACTTTACATTTCCAACTTTAACAGCAAACGATCTGAGTGTACGTGCTCAAATAATCACAGATAATACATACTTTTGTGAAAAGCTTATTAACAGGACCTACAGGCACAACAGTGAACTCTACTTCATCTGAGATATGAAGTTGGCTCTCCTCCAGAACCTCACTGAAGTGAAAGAACATCCTGGCATCCCGATCCACACACTTGATGAAACCAAAACCATCCCGTATAGCTGCAATCACCCCCTGAATTAGGTGACAAAGACATTAATTAGATAAGTGAAAGCATCCACTTATCTTTCCAATACCTCCCCTCCTGGTTTTTACATCTGTCACATTGATTTAGATAAAATCTTTTGCGGCCACGCTAACCATTTCACGTGTCTCCTTGGTGAAGTTGAAAGTATCTGGGAGAATATCGATGTTGGTAGCTCTCTCTAGCTTGTCTCTGCGATCGGTGGAGATGTTAAATTGGATGTGGTCTCCCTCCAAAAGGGTCACTTTGGACTTTGTGTCCTTCTCTCCAAAAGGCAATTCCTTGTCTGCGAAACCAATTCTTGCACTGATGCGACCTGGTAGAGGGTCATTCTGTAAGAGGGAAAGATTTGAAAAGAGGTTAACAGCTATAACGACGCCCTGGTTAAGATGATTAATTCCATGCTGGCTATTATAGCCATCACCTCTTCTTTACCTGAACCCAACTTCATCCTTTCTACAAACCTGATTTTTGGTGGGAACCTTGGGAATGACCTTGACAACAGTGCCTTCAAACTGCTCAATGCTGATGTCTTCAAAGATAACTGTTCCCTGGGGGAGCAGCCTCACATCTGTTGCCACTTCTTTACCCTAAGGATGCAACAGAAAAAAAACCCTGTAATCCAAGAGTGGATCTGTCCCAGGTTCAGACTCTAAAGTCTTAAAGCACAGTGCTTACATTTCTGTCTTTGATGGTGAACTCGACATCATCTCCAGCCTGAAGAGCTTCCAGATCCCCCTTAAACTCGCTGTAGTGGAAAAAGATCTCCTTCACAACATCTGCCCTTTCAATGAATCCAAAGGCCTCCTGACAGAAAAAAAGACGTAGAGTGTTATGAGCCGACCAAAACTGGAGATCCACAACCTCCATCCATGCTAGCCGGTTGCTTCACAGGAAATTCCAAACTGAACAAGCAGGTACTTCAGTGGCCCTTACCTTTGTGGCACACACCACACCCTGGCACCTCGACTGTTTCTTCTTCACAAGCTGAATATTGCGAGCACTAACGGCACCAGTACTGAAATACGAGCAAACGGTTAATAAACTGACAGCAAGTCGTCGCGCCAGTACCGGCACCGTTAAGACTTACTGCTTATTGGTGTCCATATAAAAGCTGACTTTATCCCCAGTCTCCAGATGGGTGTTACCCTCAACATCTTCAGAAGTATAAGTAAGATAAAACACTTCCTGCGAAAAGAAACAGCAGCATCCATCGAGGTTACCGGTAGTTGGGTCAAACCCATCGCCTAAACACAGACTGTGCAGTGGAGGCAGAAGGGGTGCACAGATCGTGAAGCAATCACGAGACAAATTATTGATTTGTCTGTACAAAATGTCCCTCCCCCCAAAAAAAGGATTAAACTATTTTCAAGTCACATCTATGTTTGACGTGGTATGCCTCCATTCAAGTCAATTTTCTTACCCCATTTCTTTCATAGCAAACACTGCCACTGGGAACCTGACCAGGGGGAGATTTTCCATCCAATGGGATGGATGAAACAACCTGCAATGAAAGGGAAGGAAAGAACAAGAGGAGGCCATTAGCACACTGCTTGACAAATATCAGCTAATTCTTCCAAACACAAGCAACAAACAAACAAACATAAATAAATAAAAATCACCTGGGTTAAATTGGTGAATTTCAAATGGTGACGTTACTTTTACAGTAGTTATTTTTATGTTTATATTTTTGAAAAATGCTGTTTACTTTTAGTCATTTTGCATGTTCATTGCAAAAATGATTAAATGAGTAAGAGCTGTGGGAGGGATTATTATCATTATCAGCAAGTCAATATGATGCAAAACCACAATGTGTTGCAGCTTCACCTAAGTCTACACCTCTTAAATGCATCCATCAAGATCACTGGCTTCTTACACCCGTGTATCTCACTCAAAAAATGCTTTGGTTCCAGAGACTCGGCAAATTGCACGGACTAGGTGACCACATTCCAATTTTTTCCCCTCCAAGCATACATCACTCCCAGCAAACATGCATGGCAGCAACATAAAGCCAAATTTGGACTTCAACTGTAACATTTACTTAATTCAGATGCAAGCGCAGAGGGTAAACTGATGGAGAAAAAAAATCTACCCAAAGATAGATAATACGGGGGAGGGGGCAGACGATTAAAGCTGACAGACAAGGACATAACCAAAAATAAAACGGTGTTCCTTAACTGGATGAATATAACCATGCAGCACAGTAAAGGGATAGGCGTGCAGGTCTGGCCCCACCTGGCCCGAGATGCGCTCCTCTGGCAGCACTTCTGGCTTTATCTTAAGCAGCTTCACTGCTATGGGCTTGCCAGTGCGCCTGTCAGAGGATACCTCAAACTCTACATCATCTGATAGGAGACAAAAAGAGAACAGGCTAAGTTGTAGAGCACATCAAGCTGACTGAGGCAAATTAATCCACAAATAGGCATATGGTCTAATACCTCCTATTTTAAGTTCCTGCAGGTTGCCATTGTACTGGGAGCAGTGGAAGAAGAGGCGGGCTTGTCGCTCGGAGCACTGGATAAACCCGTAAGACGTCAAGAGCTTTTCCACCACACCAGTCTCTCTGATGCCTGGTCCTGTGCCGTTGGCATATGCAGTGTGTCCGTTGTTATGGAGCATACCTGGGTCAAAACTCATCTGGAAAGGAAGACAAAGACTTAAAACGTATCCATTTGAGGCAACCCATGAGGCAGACAGAAACAAAATCAATAAAAAAAAATAATTTAGAGGGGAGGGCACTTTAATGCAGTGTTTGATGCCGACCGAAAATAAAACCACACACATGCAATAAATCATAAATAAGCCTATGACCAAACATGTCCTACAATAGAGTGGGGCTTCCTCATGCAAGGAAAGCAACAATTCTCTCAATCTGTTCCAATTTCATGCAGTCCTGGTTGGACGAAAAAATGTCCGACCCGTTTAGCTCCCTGAACACGCTGACAAAAACGGAGGCCTATACACTCCTAAAAAAACATAAAAAATCATGAATACCTTTGTTAATAAACTCGCTTATTACACAAATCTACAAACCATGCTGTTAACAAAAGCCTCGCGACACAACCGCAGCACAAAAGCTGCATCGTCAGTATGGGCACCACAGAGCATTTCCTCTTACAGATCTCTGATACAACGGAGTCCGCTTGTGTTTTTTACTCCCGGGATGGGGATGGCAAGAGACAGAGGAGGAACGGGGTATGGGCATGGGGCCGGTGGAGGTATGTGGGGATTGGCCAGTGTTGCGAGCCACTGGGGGTTCGGAGGAGCCCCTTTCCATTTCTGACACAGAAGTTAGGACTGGGATGTGCTGGTGGAAAAAGGCAACAGCTTTAAGAAAAATGACAGTCTCTGCATTTAGCCTGCCCCCCTCCTACGTTCAGCTAAATGTCACCACTTTTAGAAACATTAAGCAAAACGCGCTATTTTGTGCACCACTGCCCGCTTATCTCATTTTCATACACAGTTGGTGCACTCGTCTCTCAGGCCCCTCTTTAAATCAATTCCACAAAATGCCAGCAAAACATGTTAAGTGCAAAGAATGAAATTTCATTATATTCAAAAATCAATAACTCAAACCTTAAAATCCTGAAGTAGGACAAACAGTGCCTAATGCCATTCCCCCATGAAAAGGATTCTTCAATAACACTATTAAAGTTTTGAAATACTAGCGCATGAAAACAGAATTCTCTAGGCAGAAAAGTAGAAACTCAAAAGATCTTCTCTCCAGCCAGTTCAATTGAGGTGGTGTAAGCACATAGTTGCTAATGTTTCCTAATTCAAATATAAACTACGGAAAATGGAGAACTGGGGAAGCAGATGACGGGTCGAACAGCAGAGCATCTACAGTGGACAGAGCTGGTGATGGATTATGGGTTATGAGAGGGATCCCAGAGCAGCCTCTTCTGTTAGGCCCCGCGCGACACTATTTTAACAAGAGAGATGAATACGGGCAGCTTGTCTGAACATAAGATCGGATTTTGGTTGCCAATGTGGCAATTATTTGGAAATATGTAAAAAACATGTAAATCGCCGAGATGATAAAGGGATTCAGTTTTGTGCAGTTGGGCGTGTTTTGTTCAAACAAAACAACATGTAGCTCGTACGTTTGGTACAAGTGAACGTCAGGATGAAGGCCGCATGGGAAATTAATAAAAATACAAATGTGAGAAGTCAAATCAAAGCAATGTCCATGAATTGCGGGAAGAAAAAAAAAAAAGGGGGAAAAATCTCAAGTTTATCCGCCAGAACCCCCCTCACCCTGCATTAACACAGCTGAGCAGAGGCTGGACTCGGGAACCCGAAGAGGGATGAAAGATTAGGCCATTCACAGCAAAGATGCAGGGCAAGGTGGGTGGATGGGTGCTCGATGGGGTGGGGCACGTAGAAAAGAGGTGGGAAGGTGAAACTTACGGATCGGCCATATGGCGACAGGCTGAGTCCGACAGGGGAGGTGCTGCTCAGGTCAGCACTAACAAACGCGGTGGGTGGCGACGCAGGCAAGGTAAATTCAACAAAGCCTTTCCAGGGACTGCCCATATTTTCCCATAAACTTGGACCAAACTTGCTCGAGCACTTGTTTACTTGTCTGAATTTTTGCTTGGCTGTTTAGAACAATTATGTAACCACCCAAAGATACACAGCTGGATGTCTGCAAGGGTGAAGAGAGGAACAAACATAACGGGTAAGGAAGAGAGGTCAGCCAGTGTGCCAAGTGTCACAAACAAAGGAAAATAGCTGTGCGGGCTTTAAGCCCCGGGGTGGTCGAGAAGGCAAAAACTGGGGAAGATATGGCTTGAAAAGAAGAGGGTGCAGGTTGAGTGTGAGAAAGCAACCACTTCCACCAAACTGAAAAGTCCAGTTTAACTGCGTGGAGTTAGGGGGCGGTTGTTCAGTTCAGCGAGATTTTAAAGAGTCTTCTTTAAGAAACACAGGTTACGAAGATGGCAAAGTTCAGCTGAGTGTCAAAACACCGGACGTGAATCATGTACAGACAGCGGTTAATTTCTAACCAGAAACTGTGACAGACGCTTTGGCTGGTAGCCCCATTTGTCTCTTGACTATGTAATAATCTGTGAGAATAGGAATTGCAAAATGAAAAACCTGAGGATGTCGCCTTTTAAAACAGGAGAAATCAAAACCAAATTTTTGAGGCTGCGAGTCCAAATTACAAAAAGGTAGTTCCAAAATAAATCTCAACCCCGCCCACCAAAATCAGGAATGCTGCAAGTTGTAGTAGCTTGCATAACTGAATAGGAACAAAAGATTTTTCTTCTTTTAAACATAGTAAAGTCTAAAAAAAATAATACTTTAGGGAATTTTAGGACACAAAAATAAAACTGCATGTCAAATCGAAAAACACTCATCAGGATAGTGAAGCAACAAAAAAAAGAACGACAACTGAGACCCACCTTTAATGGCCGCCTTGAACGTTCCAAATGTCTGGATCTTGATGTTTTAGCAGACCTCTTCACACACACACATAAACAGTTACCACACACTCTCCTTACAGGTTTCTGGCACAAGTTCTAGACTGTTGCATAAAGTAAAAAAGAAATGGGGTGAAATCTAGCGCACAAAAGGCAATTGCAGGTGCAACAACACTGCTTTGAGAAAAAAAAATGACAAAGAAAACAGAGGGGGGAGAAGAGGGAGGGAGAGATGGGGGGACTATTGGGGGAGACTAGCAGACAGAAGCCCACTCCACACCTGGTGGTGAGTTGGCGGAGCAGCGAGGATGAGGAGGGCTAGGAGCAGCGTTGGGACGTGTGCTTTGTCAAAGCTGTTGAGTAGGCACAAACTTCTGTTTTCAGATCAGTTATCTTCTCAGAATATGCTTGGGCATAGGATTGCTTCTTTTCAGCATTTCAGTTGGGCTGATGTGCGTTTTCTTTGGTCGTTTCAGGATTTGGTTACTTGTACTTTAAATCCTTGACGTGATCCTTTTCCCCCACGTGTTTTCAAGTGATGCAACTTTTTTCTGGGAGGTTTATCTTCAGTTTCTTTGACGTGATCTGAACTTGAAGCAGTTGCGGATGGTACAAAAATTCAGTTGTTTCACTTCATACTGTGGGGGGAAAAAGCAGATATGATTAGATAAAGGAACTTTTCTTTAAAAAAAAACAAAGAATGACTTTTAATACATTTTTAAGAAAGGCTTTATGGCCCCAGGAGTCTGTAGTTAATCTGACAAATACAATTAAACAATTACAGAAATTATTTACACATACTCAACTAAAAAGGTTTCCTTCAAATGCCCTGTGATATGTTCACAATGCCAGCAAGCTGAAAGTAGTTGAGAGCAGGGTATAAAAAAGATCTCTGCGCATGCCCTTAGTTCAGGCTACAATATTTATGGCAACACGCTGGACCAGGGACCTCTGTTTTGCACACTACTGTACACATGTTTTAAGGAGGCTGGTCTTGCAACCAATAAGAGCAAAGCTTGTTTGAATTTCTCAATGTTTATTTAGAAACTCCTCTTCATCAGTAGGTTAGGGAAGAATGTTGACCTACATACTCTGCTCTGTAAACAAGCTGGGTGAGCCCTCCTGCGACACATGATATGCTGCTGAGACCATGTTGCAATCACTGCCCTACATCACAGAAGGTTACAATATGAGGTGTAATAAGCCTCAAAGGGTATTACATGGAACACAGTATGGGGCTTGTTTTAAATTGCTTACATTGTAATTGGAAAAAAAATAACATTGTACGATGAATAAGCCCCTTTGCGTACATTTTCAGACTGGTTGAGTGGTACTTTGTGAGAAACTGGAGCCCTTAAGCGATTGGCTGTACACAAGACATTAGTTGGATAAATCAGGGCCAATGAACACGGGATTGTGTTTTCAGTGAAAACTGCCATGGAGAAAAATGGGCTTTTTCTGCCACCCGTTGTGTCAACTTCTGATAGGGCAGAGACAGGAATAGGTTACACCCACTACCACCAGAATCGATTTATGGCCCTTTCTGTTCAGCATTAAAACAGTTTAGGATATATTAATTAAAGTTAAAAACTGCCGAGAGTCCAGGCCATGGGATATTTAAAAAAAAAGCGGTTGAGACACAACAAATCTGTAAAACGCTGCGATCCTGGGTCTAACCCAAAAAGACACCGCTCTTACGAAGGCTATCATGTGACTTCCTGACAATCCGTTATCCCCAGCTGGAACAGCCAACATGGCCTGAGACAACACGTTGCGGTATGCAACGCCATTGGAAACGTCACAACCAGGCTAACCAGTTCCAAGTGGAAACACAATCCAAACCGCGAATAAATACGGAGGAAATGGTCCAAAATGGATTACACTCGCTTTTTATGTCGCATGTTAAACACAATAAGAGACAAAAAAAAGGGAGAAACCTCCTCGTCTTCGTGACCTTGCGTGGACAAGCAAATACTAGTAGATTAGCATCTTGCTAACGGTAAAGTCGTAAACAGCCATCGTTGCCAGGCGTATTCTACTCTTTTAAAAATAGACATTATTATACTGCGACTGGGTCGTTATGCTAATAAATTCTAAAATAAATAAAACCAGGCATTTTTTAAATGTCACTTTGGTACAATGACAGCCATGTTGCCCACGGTTTCAGATGCAATCGTTAGCAAAACGGTCACAACATTAGCGTTTATCTGAAACGTGAACGATTCCTAAAGAAATACGCATTTAAGATGATTCCATGTGCATTTTAAATATACACACATGGTGGTGACTTGCTTGTTTCGAACTGACTACATCAGTGAAAGTCGACAACCATGTGAAACGCGAAAAGGGGCTTAATGCGATTGAAAGAGTAATAGAACGGAATCAAGTTTATTTGACCATATCCAGCAGACTTAATAAGCTAAATTTATTCGAAAGGGGCCGGTAAATACCAGAGTGAGTCGAGAAGTATTTTTCTTTAAAAAACGACGTTCTTTTGACGAAATACATCCGAATTAAAATGTCAACAACGGCATTTAATCTTTATGAAGAAAAACGTGCAGGGACGATGTCAAAGCTAGCCGCACGAGGATTGGAAAACAAAGGAGCTGCGTACAAAGCTCGTCCTAACGTCCATTTAAGTTCCACGTCTGCCTCCGACATTTAATCTATCACTTTCAGACTTTAACTGCTATGACACACAAGCCATTTTCTGTGAATATCAGCATCAACGTTTGAAACGTTGATAAGACAGTCGGGCCGTTAACAATGCTAGTTGGCTACCAGTTAGCATGATGCTGTACAGCTTGGCCCTTGTGTGATTTATGCTGAGGGAAAAATACGGCCGCCCCCACCCAGGCCCAACTTCTGCGTAAGGCTAAGGGCTGGCCAACCCATTCACATAAGAATGCCGCCCGAGTAAGAAACAGCGAACGTGTTGTCAAAGCAGTATAAATACATACTAGTGAAGTTTTAGAAATCAGGAAAATTAATAAAAACTCACCCCAACAGCTTTCAGCACTGTCACCAGCGCCGCTAGAAGCAGCACGGCACATTACGTAGTGATTAGGGAGGCAGCTCCCGCGATATTTGACAACGTGAAGTTCAACAAAGAGCATAGAAAAGAGAGAGACCACTGCAGCTGCATCTGTAGTCCCGCAATGGCCCATGGGAGATTCAGCATTCAGTTACTAAGTCCTGTACAAATGAGATTGTTTTCTTCTAAATTTAAATTGGCCACATGAAAATTTTTTGCCTATTTTTTATATTTACATATATGTTAAATAGAATATGTATTAGAATGTATTGTGCATAACACCCTCTATCTATCTCGGGGAAGATGCCACTATTTGAACCCCCTTGAAAAAAATATAATTTAATGTTGAATTGTTAATCTACACATTAGATCATCGAATACATTCATGAGTAGGCACTGAGATTTTTATGTAAAAAGTAAGTAATTTGTGTATATATATATGCTAATTACTTAATTTGATATACTAATTACAAGCAATGTCTACTAAAATACCAATTACATACTACTAATATTAATACATACATACATACACTTCCACGCTGGTGGAACGACCTTACAACCACTATCAGAGCATCAGATTCTCTTTCCTCCTTCAAGAAATCCTTGAAGACCCAGCTCTTCTGAGAGTTTCTCTTGTCCTGAAAGCTCTAATTGCACTTGTTTCCTAATAGCATATAGCACTGAATGTTTGGTACTTAGTGTAAACTATGTCATAGTTTAATGTTGAATCATTAATGTTAAATACTCTTCTAGCATATTGAACTCAAGATAAGGTAAGTGTGTAACTGGTGTTGTAGTTGAATGTTAAATCCTCTTTTTGTAAGTGGCTTTAGATAAAAGCGTCTGCTAAATGCATAAATGTAAATGTAAGTGTACATTCATACAACCACTAGTAGGAGTTCCAACGGTAAGTGAATGCAGCATAAGAGAGGAAAGGAAAAACCGGGAAGTGACGTAATGGTTTGCTTCACTGAGGGACAACGAACTTGACAACACCAGGAGTGATTACTTATGTTGTTTGTTTTTGTCGTTTATTTTCCGTCCATTTAGAAAGCACAATTAAAATCTCGCGGCAGTATGAACAATTTAGCACAAACGCCTTGGTGAGTGCAGCCAATGTAAGCTAACTCTACGACACGTCTTCGCCTGACTGCCCGAGATTGTGGAGTAGCTTGCTTACGTTGCAGATAACGACTCTTTAGTTTTCAGTAAATGGCCTGCACTTTCGAAAAAGTGTTGGGAGATGCTCGGACCCTTCTCGAAAGGTTGAAAGAGCATGACACCGCCGCCGAGGGACTGATAGAGCAGTCCGGGGCCCTCAGCCGGAGGGTGCAGAGCATGACGGAGGTGGGCAACGCTCTTCCAGACAAGGTGAGCGTAAACCTGTCTTCATACACCTGAACAGGGGAGTCAGCTACAGGCAGAGTCAAGGTGCCACAACTAGTCTTTTCTGTACTGAAACCTCTCTGACGATGTAAAGTGGAAGAAAAACAAATCCAAAAAGCAAACTCAACTCTGTCCCTGTCTGCTTTTTTTTTTTACAGCACACAGAAGACAGCTCAGAGATTCAGGAGCTCACCAAGTACAAGCCCCATGTCCTTCTGACTCAGGAAAACACTCAAATCAAGGATCTGCAGCGGGAGAATAAGGGTAAAAATGCCACCATCTGCCCGGACATTTTTCGAGTGATGCTTTACATCTGTGCCAATGCTCTTTGTGACCGTCTCTGCAGAGTTGTGGCTGTCTCTGGAGGAGCACCAGTACACGCTAGAGTTGATCATGGGTCGCTATCGCAAGCAGATGCTCCAGCTGATGATGGCCAAGAAGGAGCTGGACACCAAGCCAGTGCTCAGCCTCCACGAAGACCACGCCAAAGTAAACGGGTTTCGTTGGCACTTCAAAATGTTCAGTCATAAGTAGTTTTCACATAGTTGAATTTAAGATCACTTCAGTTTAGTAAAAAAAATGTTTTTTATTCATCTCTAGGAAGTGCAGGGCCAGTTGGAGCGGATATGCGAGATGGGCCAGGTGATGAGAAAAGCTGTCCAGGTGGATGATCAACGCTACTGCACGGTTCGAGAGAGGCTCGCTCAACTAGAGGTGAGCACAGCAGAATCGAGCATAACTGCTCATATCCTGACATCATCTGTTACTTTCATTTAAGAAATTCAAAACAATAATGTCCCGCAAACCTGTAGTGCTACCAAAAAGTACTGATCCAACCATTATTTCTGGAGGGAAAAAAGTGAATCAATAGTCAGACTTGTTCGAAACAGATTATGTCAAATAATGACAAATTGTTTTGAGCATCTTTATTATTTATAGACTCCACATTAGAAGTTATATTGACACCCTCAAGAATCTCAGTAAGACAGTCTAGAGAAAATGAACTCCATTTGATACGTTGCCAACTATAAACTTTCACTTTTAATATGTACTAAAGCCCACTATTTAATTTAAATATTACCCTAATAAGTTCTCATTATCTCGCCCGTTGACCACTGGAATAGGCTCCAGTTCCCCCCGCGACCCCATCAGGGAAAAAGCGGTATTGATAATGGATGGATGGATGGATGGAAGTTCTCATTATTTAAAGCATCACAAATTTAGCTTGCCTCTGATTTTTGGTGGAGAATCAGTTAATTAGAACCTTGGTCCAACATTAGGCGCATTACTAAAAGTCAGTACAGGACATTGTCGTGATCAAGGAGTGTAGCTATAAGGTGGATGTAGCATTGTTTCAGAATGATGAAGCAATGCTGAAGTGGCTTAAAATGCTGTGTTTGATGGCCCCTTTGACCCGTTTCCAAAGCTTTTCTGACTCGGACAGCGCTCAGTCATGTGATTTCAGCCGATTTAAAAAGAAAGGTAATAAGAATTGAAGGTAGGCCTCGAGACATCAGTAGTGGTTTAAATATTTGGGTTGTTTAAGTTGATCATATATCCTCTAAACACAGGAAAATAAAAAATATATACATTTTACATGCTGACCACGTAAATGGGTGTTATTTGGAGGCGTTCAGGGTCTCTGGGTGGTGGCTAGAAGCTCCAGCCTGGGAACACAGTCATTTGTCATGTGACAAAATTACTTTTTGGAAAAAAAATCAAACAGCTTATCAGATGTGTCACAATTTAATGAAACAAATGAACTTTTTTCACTTTTAAAAGTGATGCCTCGTTTAGAAGATGGGTCAGAAAATGTTTCAGCCCTCCAGTATAACGGCAGCTGCATCTTTCTTTTTTTATGTGTTTTTCGTGCCTCTTACAGATTGAGAACAAGGAGCTTCGCGACCTTCTGGTCATCAGCAAGGGATCTGTAAAGATCCTGACAGAAGGACCCGAGCAGCCGCCAAACGCAGAAACTGCATGCGAACAGTCCCCTCAGGCGGATTCCAACGAGTGACCAGGGGAGAGGAGGTCCCTTCTACCAGAAAACAGGGTTGATTTTTCTGTCACCTGTAAGCAACCTTTAGAGAAAAAAAAAGTGCAACATGGAATGCATTCACTGAAGCATGGTGAAAGTCACCCAAACACAACATTGTAGCTATCAGAATCATGCACCTGTGGGCATTGCAACTATTACCATGTACAGTAACTGTATAATAATCACTGCAGCCATGTTGGAATGAAATCAAATGATGTGTTTGTGTTGTCACTGGCATATTTCATATCAGCATATTCTGGAGTGAAGAGTGCAAAGGGAATGTTTTTTGGGGGGGATTTTTTTGGGCCAAGGACACATTTATTATTTCAGTGGTGTTTCTACCTCTTGGGTTCCCTTTTGCTGTTCTCATATAACCATTTGTTATGAGTAAGATTTCCACTAGTACCCCTACTATTAAGAAGCCAGCTCATAGTCTACTCATCACCACACTAGACTGTGCACGTTGCCAAGAAAAATACTTTTGGATGTTTCATGAGGACTTGCCTGCTGAAGAGTGACAGTGGAAACTTTTTATGTGATTGTCACTTTGGGATTGGATATGTTTGTCCCTCAGTTACCAGCAGGGTTTTCACGTTTGCCATGTTTACTGTGCGAAATGACATAGGTTTTCTATTTCTAATGTTTGAAGGCAGAGTAATGTGCACCAGCTGATGGCACTTCTATGATAGTTGTAACAATTTCAAAACATGCCAACTATTTGTGTGTTTTAAATTTGTGTGTGCGCCACATATTGTCATCTCAGGAAATCAGTGTTAGTCAGTTTAAACCTGATGTAATAACCTAATGATAATGTACTGATTGTGTAAAATAAAATTTATGGAGAAATTTTGCAAAAGAAATGTCTGTTTTTTTCTCTTTCTGGCACAGTTGATAACACCTTTGAAAATTATTTGGTCTTTTTTTTTTGCTTACCACGAGAAGGCGACATTGACCCGTTTTAATTGTAACTTATCGCGAGGGTTGCAAAAGTAACCCAGTGGTGCATTCAGGTATAAGACAAATTTACGTCAATGTGCAGATTAATCCTACAAATGCGGTATTAACTTACATTCAAATAGTTATCATACAACTTGATTACCTTTATGTATTTGGCGTTTATTAACAAATTATATTTTTTCAATGCGTGTTATTCTGATTAAAGTGTATATTTTCGACAGTACGTGAAAGCAGCACCAGAGCTGCATTTGACACTTGAAGACTGAAGCAAGCTAACTGAGTATGTCTGAGAAGGAGCTGGGAAAGAAGTGGGACCGATGCCTAGCGGACGGTGCCATTAAACTAGGTAAATATGAGCGAGTTTTCAGCAGGTATCCTCGCCGTAACGTCCCGGAAAGAGCACACCGTAAGCCGCAGTTTGTACGGCCACCCACAGCTGTCATTGACCGGGAGTGGGGCTAACTGGCTAGCCGCAAAGGGCTGGCAAAGGACGATTAAATGATAAGTAACATATCATCGACCTTTCAATTATACCATGGACAAATAAAGCATACTTCTTTAGCAGCAATAAAGTGGGATAATTTGGCGTATTTTTAAAGCATAATTTTGCTGCTTTTCTTTGATATTTCCAAAGCTGGAAAGAAACCAAGTGGAGACGCCTTTTAGAAAGTCTTAATTGGGAGGTCCCTTACTATTGAGACCAAATTCACCTTCACGAAGACGCATTCAAAAACGTTTTAAAGGACGGTGTTGACCGTTTATAAATGAATCATTCAGTCAAATCACATATGAACATTCATTTATTCACCAGCTGCGCTGATGTTTTCATTGTAACGGATCAATGGTAAATCCCCCATAATTAAATAGGGAAGACGACAGGTGTCAGGTATTATCGGCCAAAATAAGCCACGTCCTCGCGAGCCACCGTTATGTCAGACAAATATAACTAAATACCAGCCACACAGAGCTGAGGCCAATTCATTGGCCTGTTTGTGGGTAAAACTATGAGAACGATGCTCTTGGGTACCCACTGTGTTTGGGTAAATGGTCAATGTCCAGTCAAGTTCAAGTTACATCGAAGCAAAAAAAAAAAAACTGTTGTCCCTCTCTGTGTTTCAGGTGCCGGGCTTGGGTTAGGAATAGTGTTTTCTGTCCTGTTTTTCAAAAGTAAGTTGTTTTTTTTGTCACTGTTTTACCCAGACATGTATTACACATCTGTTAAATAGTCGTTAATATAGTTATGTGAGTTAAGAATTTTTTATATAAATGTACTGAGTTTAAGTACCCAACGTTTACATATATTTCTGTTTGGGTGCCCTAAAATAGGACCCGAGTTATTTATTGGATGTGTGCTGGACCTTTTATTTAGCTCAGAGAAGAACTGCTGTCACAATCTGCTGTGACTACTTCACCACAAACCCAGCTGTCTTTCCCATACATGGAAGATGTGTTTAATATTTGTGCTCCATCAGTTTTTTTTGTTTTTCAGACAAAAACCTAAATTCATCATGGTTAGGAGCAGCTGTAGTGGGTTTTACAGGTCATACCTGGAGTGCTCAGCTTGTCTTAAATGTCTCAGAAGAAATGAGCTTCTCTTCTCATTTTTAGGGCACACGTGGCCGATTTCATTTGGCTCTGGAGCCGGACTTGGCATGGCGTATGCCAACTGTCAAAATGACCTCCGGTCCCATTACCTGCGGCACACAGGCGATAAGGTGGGTTTTGTTTTATTTGAAGCTTCAAACTTAATAAATAACTATAAATAAATGTATAAATTCACATCTCTGCTTTTCTCAACAGGCGCAGTAACTTCACATCATCAGGGGACTTTTTTTAATTGTAATTTTTTTTGCATACATTTTGTTTGCTCCATCATTTGCACTATTCTACAGTTTGATCCATGCTTCCTGTTCGTAATCCTTACCGAGTTTGACTGTATGGTTCATACATGCCTGATCAGGACAGTCTGTGTTTATTTAATAAAATAATCTTGGCTATGTATAAATGAGGAATGACTTGGTGATAAATTGTTCCCCGTGTGCCTTATAGGGGATGGAAAGCATGTAATGTTCTATAATATGATAGTATTTCTCCAGACTGGGGTAATATGATGCATTTAACAGCCAAAAGAACCTCAAGACGATGCTGAAGAGAGTTAAGAATGTGCTACTGCCATTATAAAATAAGATGCTTCAGATTTTTTTGTGTTCGATTTATTTTCTGGAGGGTGGCAGGGAGGGCAGTGGGTGCTGCAGTGTGACTGCTATCCCATAAGGTGGTGGGCTTGGTGAAGGGGTTAGAATCTTGGCAGCAGCAGATGAAAGGAGTGTAATTATGTTGGAGATTAGTCAGTCCTGAGGGGGCACCAAAGCTTCATTTATTCTATATTTAACTGCTCCGGCTGGAAAGTGAAAATCCATGGCGTCAATTTTTGTGTTGGGAAATACTGGGATGAGCAAATGCGACCGCCATTTTCTTATGTGGAATGTAGACTGGTTCTCCGATGGTAAATATGATTAAACACTTCAGAGAATAAACTTCTGTTAATGATCCGTTTGTGACAGATGTCACCTAATTGCTGTTCAATTCTTTTTCCACACATTTGATCAATCAAAATGTCCACGTTTCAAGTTTTTAAAACACTGCAAAACCAACTTGCTTCTTTTTTCTTTTTTTTTTTACACATTCATATTTATTAATGGAAAAGTCTGCATCATCCTGGGAAAACCCACACAGGTGAAGGCCAACCAGCCCAGAGCCATATTTTCTGTAAATCGAAGGTGCCAAACACTGATCCAGTGTTTGACTGTTCATAAAACTGCTATGAAGAAAATATCTAATAATATCTAATAGAAGGAGGCAGCATTGGCAAAATGAGTTTAAAATATCAAAACTGCATCTAAGGTTAAAAAAATTCCCTCAGTGCATAAAGACCCTGATGTGTAAGTTTCTGCTATCTAGTGTTAAAAAACCTGTTTTTTAAGTGTATATTTAAAAAAACAACATCATGGTGCTGCCATATTTCTCAAAGCTGAAGCATTCGGAGTGTCAGTGGTTGAACGTCTTGCCTACAAATTTTACCACTGATTATTAAAGTGTGAAAAAGAGATCGGAGGAGAAATACATGTGCATCTATTGAGGGGGGGAGTTAAAACGAACAATACAAAAAACAGTATTAAGTGTTTTAGCACTTGTTACATTATCCTTAAACTGTGAGCGCCAGACGGACTGCATCCATCTTCCAGGACAAAACCCTTTTGTGGGAACATGGAAGATCTTCAGAACACAGTAGGTTAAAAAACACCACAACCAAACATGGAGAAACGCCACCCACACAGTTCCTATGATGCAGAATTAGCATGTCCTGCTTGTGATTGTGCATGGTTATGCATTAACAGCTCAATGCTTTGACACGCTCTGCCTCCGTGGCTGTGCGCTCCGGCTGGGAGACACTCTGGAGTGGCTGCCACAGGGATTAACAGCAGCGAGGGATGCAGCGCTACAAGGACCATAATACCTGTGGAGCACTTTTAAGCAGAGCCTTTCTTCCTAATGACTGTTGCACTTTTTTGTGTGTGTGTGTGTGTTTGTTTTCTCCTCCTTTTTGTTGTATCACAGAAGAAGAGGACTTGTGTGTGTGTGTGTGTGGCATCAGAGCTCCAGCTCGGCAAAGGACTTGCAAAAGCAGAACAAAAATCCACTTCTGGGAGCTGAGGTGTGTTTTTGTGAATAGCTCCGTGCCGTCTTCATCTTCAGAGGGTCCTCTCTTCAGCACTGCTCGCTTATGCGTGGCAAAGGCTTATTTCTCTTTGTGCCCTCCTCCAGTGCCCGTCATCATTTAGACATGCAGCTTAAAACCCCTCTTTAAGCTATCGAATGGCTCATTCTGGCTCCTGGCGGTGGATGTGGCAGGGACGCACTGGCCAGAATGGAGAGATGAGGGAGACAGGAGTTGGGTTATCACAGTGCCAGCTCATCCTCTGCGTTTTCCTGCTGTAGAGTTATTGACTTTATCCATGACGGAGAAGTGAGTCTGATGGCTTCTCAACACAAGACACCAGGGGCTTCTTCTTGTTCAGTAATGTCCCCGAAGTTGGGGGGCAGAACGGGTCTGTGGCACTGAGCTCAGGAGGTGATTCCCTGATTGCTGCAAGCCGCCACCATGACTGACTCTCACCCGTCTGGCTCCGCAGGCGCCTCCAACGGCAGCTCGGTCAGCGCCAGTGACTGGAACATCACGGGCAGCGGCCCCTGGTTGCTGGCCTTCATGCTGACCGTCATCATCCTCATGACGATCTGCGGCAACATGCTGCTCATAGCTCTGGTGTTTGCCCATCGCTCCTTGCGCTGCACTTCAAACTGCTTCCTGGTCTCTCTGTTCTTCTCCGACCTCATGGTGGCGTTGGTGGTCATGCCCCCCGCCATGCTCAACGTGCTGTGCGGGGCCTGGGTGCTGTGGCCGGCCTTTTGCCCCGTCTGGCTGTGCTTTGACGTCATGTGCTGCAGCGCGTCCATCCTCAACCTGTGCGTGATCAGCCTGGACCGCTACATCTTCATCATCTCGCCGCTGCGCTACAAGCAGAGGATGACCCCGGCCCGCGCGCTCCTCCTGGTGGGAGCCGCCTGGGGACTGGCGGCGCTGACCTCCTTCCTCCCCATCGAGATGAAGTGGCACAGTTTGGGTTACGGGAGTGGATATTCCCCATTCCCCGAGGTCCTCGGTAATATCAGCTCCCTCTCTGACAAACAGTACCCAGAGTCTTATTTTCAGACCACACCGTCAGGAGGCGCTTCCTTTCAATGCCGCCTACAGGTTACCCTGCCCTTTGCCCTGGTGGCATCCGTACTCACCTTCTTCCTGCCGTCCAGCGCCATCTGCTTCACCTACTGCCGGATCCTTCTGGCAGCACGGAGACAAGCCAAGAGAGTCGCGGCGCTGAGTAATCCTCCACATCTCTCCCTCGGAGAACCCTCTCGACCCCCTTCATCCGGGGTTGCAGCGGGGCAAGCTCAGCAGGATAGAGAGGACTGCAATCACCACGCGCCTCCCCTGGGGAACCTACCGGTAAGGAGAGGGCAACACGACCCGGCCAGAGCAGGGGCCAGTTTCAGCACGAGCACAACTGACTCTTTCATAAAAACAGAATGTTTCATGGGAATCAGGAGCTCTGCTAAAAATGCATCCTGACATTTAAAGTAATTCAAAGCATCACATTCGTTCTAATTATACATATAATTCACACCCTTAAAAATAAAAAAGAAGTGCTGAAATCTACTCAAGTTCTTTATCACCAGGGTGCAGGTATCATATGAAAAGATACAAAAAAAAAGGTCAAGTAGCTGTATTTTTTCAAATTTTGCAGGCACAAAAAAAACCCTCTGACATAAGACAGTTTCTGAAATGTTTGATTTTTTTTCAATTAAAAACAGTCTTTAATTGTGTTCAGTAATGGCCTCGCTAAAGGTGGCTGATAAAGAGAAGCTGTTGATGTGGCAAAGACCTTGTAGCGCTGGTAGATACTCAAAAGAAAATGTAGCTATCATTAAGAGCAAATAATGAGGTGGGAACGATGTTTGATTGAATTCTTGTTTTCCTTCTGCTGTGCTGTCAGCAAGGACAACACAGCAGAGAAAATCTGAAAGGGGATCATCTCCAGCTTGTAAGGAGAATCATTAACTGTATGAGTGCATATTGCACAGAGTGTGAAATGTGCTGTCAGAGTTCAGTCTGCCACACTTTCCAGCTGCAAAATCCATGCCAAATTCAAGCAGTCAGGTCTATTTAAAGTAGATTCAACATATTTAACTTTCACTCCATCTAAGTTGATTCCCCAGCTTTAAAAAAAAAATCAATCATTTTGGGATATCTGATTATTTGTCTTTTTGCAGAATGAATCATGTGTTATGATATTCAGGGGCCATTAAAGTTAAGGGGTTATGCTAGGCTAATTCAGCTAATCAATACAACTAAAGAGTTATTATAGCATAACCCAAAGAGCTGAAACAGAAATTATTTTGAATGTAATCGTGTAATGCTCTGTGGACCTTTTTCCATTGCTCTCCATCGTCCGCAGCCGTCGGTGAACAGCGAGCGCCGCCTGGCTCACAGGCAGGGTCGCAGGGCGCTGAAGGCCAGCCTCACCCTGGGAGTCCTGCTGGGACTCTTCTTCAGTGCCTGGTTACCCTTTTTCATCACCAACATGGCTCAGGTGAGTAGAAAACAGAAATACATGGAGAAATCCTCACTTTAAAGACTTTGCTCTCTTACGCGTGTCCATGTCACTTCTAAATTTCACGATTCATATGATTAACATTTTTAATTTATGGCAGGCGTGAAAGGGATGATAAGTAAATGAACGGTTGGACTGTACACATGGATACCGAACTATTTTTTCCTTCGCCGGCCTCGTCTCAGTCTTGCCAAGTTAATGAGGAAATAGATTGGCATTTCAGCTTAGTGCTTATGACTCATTCCAAAGAGAACAACACACCAAAGTACCATTTACAATTGCTACTCTATTGAATTTGTTGATTAGACTCAAGATACACACTAATTACTCTGCCAACAAACAAAGAAGGCCATTAACAAAGAGTCACAGAAACTAAATGAAAGCAAAAAAACAAAAAACATCCGTATCTGAATTAGCAATGGATCTCGTCTGGTTTTTCAAGCTTTCGATGATCCAGTCAATTTGATTTTCCATCTGTGCCCTCTTGCTTTTCCCCAGAAAAACACAGAGCATAGAGACTTGACTGTGACTGTGCTCTCCTTTCTTTTCACACTCAATGTGGTGTGTGAAACACATCCCCCTTTCCGTCTCATTCCCACCGCCTCTCCGTTTCATCTTGATAGTATTGGAAGCCCTCCTCTAACAGCTGTCTCCTCCTTCAGAGACACTCGCTAGAATTGGTGATCATGTTCGAGATCAGCGTCCTTAACAGAAAGATGTTCAGTAAAATGTTGAGCGGCGGACAGTTAGTCATTGATTGGTCATTTTTGATTATCTGTAAGTGAATGCAATAGGTTGGGAAAGGAGTGGGTTAATTATGATAAATATGAGTGGGTTAAACATATTAAATATGTTTAATCATATTAAAAACATATTAAATATGTTTAATCATATTAAAAACATATTAAATATGTTCCCCTTGTGTTTTTTTATTTGTTGTTATTTTTGATAGAGGCTGAATGTTCTAAAGTGTGTATCATTGTATTCAACATTTCTCAACACAATTCAGGAAAAAAAAATCCATTCCATGATCTCCGGTGCGTTATGCCGTCAGAAGTATCGATTCCTAAAACATCGTTTTGCTCAGGGAAAGAGCAAAGACGTTTGGCCTTCGGGCCTTTGCTGGCAGTCCATTAAAAACAGATATGATTCTGTAGTGAGAATCACTGCGTGGGCGCAGGAACACTTCAGTCTCAGTGAACACGGTTCATCTCCACTTCCACACATGCAAGCTCAAACAAGCTCAAACTTCAGAGTGCCGTGAACACTACTGTCTTCTGAGTCCAAGGCCATTTCTTTGGACATTTGAAGACAGGCTCTCCAAATTGTTTTCCACATATAGTTCAAAAGTCAGTCTCTGTGGTGGTGTGGGAGCCAGATTGCAGCGCGTTGCAACACTAATTGGTTACTTGTGTAGCTGTGAAGGCACCATATTAAGAGCCTTGCTGCTTAATTACAGTCCAGGCCTGTCACCCACTGAAACACTTGGAGGATTAAGACAAAGGAAATCCCAAACTGTCGAGCAGCTGAAATCCCATCAGAGCAAGGAAGGAAAACATTTTACTGTCAAACCAAAACTAAATATTATCTCAGTGATGCAACGTAGAAAACTTACCGTGCCGAATTCTTTTAAACATGAGGCATTACTCTTAGAATGAGTAGACTTTGGGTTGCTGGGATGAGCAGGCGTCCTATTTCCAGAGGCTTCATGTCACTGCTGCAGGTTTGGGTCCTGACTAAACTGGATCTTTCCTATGTGTCATCTGTCATCCCTGCCTGCCTCCCTGCCCTTACTCCACTATGAATAAATTACACTAGACCCCAAATATGTAGTGCTCATGACATTTTCAATCTTAAATTGAAATCTTAAATTCATCTTAAATTCTCCTTTTTAAAATTGATTTTCTATAAATGCATGCAGGTCTTTTGGAAGCGTGGCCCAAGTTAGTCTTTTGCTGCAAAAAAATCAAGATCACTCATTACATTTACCACAAACAGCATTGACCATGTACTTTGCACTATCCAACCCATTTTAAAAAATAGCCTTTAAACAGTATTGTGTGAGCTAATTTCCATTTCTTTGGCTATTTTTGGAACCTTGCAAGACGCCTTGAAGATTAGACTTCCAAACACCTAAATCTGGTTAGTTATTAACTCATATAAAATTGATTATTAATGCTCCAGTTTCCAGAGAGTTGCTTAGCCTGTTAGCTGTGGCTCTGTTCAGAGTTGGGAGCACAATAGCTTTAAGTAAACCTCTTAAATCGTCAAATTGGCCAAAGGCTCTGTAGAAAAAATAAGACGGTGGGGCTGAAATGTGCCGATCAAACATTTGCATTTTACTCACAAAGCTTCTATTTTTCTGTTACTTGGAGGGGAACAGTGACCTCTGTGTGTGGATTTAGGTTCTTCTTTCTGCCTGCTCCTTTCCCTCTCTGATCCAGGCGGTGTGTGAGTGCGTCCCCCTGGCCCTTTTTGATGCCATCACCTGGCTGGGTTACTGCAACAGCACCATGAACCCCATCATCTACCCGCTGTTCATGAGGGACTTCAAGCGAGCCCTGGCGAGGCTCCTGCCCTGCTGCTCCTCCCGCTCCCCCCGGAGACCCTCGCCAGCGCTCTCCCTCTCCCTGCGCAACTCCGGAGAGCCCAACATCTGCAGCGACCCCCCCTCGCCCCTGGCCTCTGACCCCACTCACCCCCCCGCCACTGCGACGGATGCTGTCAACCTGCTGGACGCTGAGCACGCTGGGATCGAGTTGCCTCTGCTTCTCCCCAATCAGGTGGACACCCTCGACTGAATAATCGTAGGAATATAACCTGCAAATAAGTTTAATCGGGTTTGTGCTGAGAATGAGTCTCATAAGTTACTAAAGCTGAAGGAATATTGAAGAAAAGATACATAAAGTCAGACAATCTCCGAATCTAGGTTTTCTTCCACTGTGCGCTAGACAGAGAAGAAGGAAAATACATTGTTTCACATGTCACAGAGTTTCAAGCTCGAGGACTTTTTGAGTTATCAGTGCCAGCATATCACATTCCGACGGGTGGAACAGAATAAAGGAAGATGGGAAAAAAATACTGTGAAAAACAACACGTTTGCCCAACTGCCTCCACCCTTATGGAAATCAAATTGTTGTGATGATATCCATAGCAACCGAGCCAACAGATAAAAATAAGTGGGACGAAAGGAGCAGAGTTGTCACCTATCTGGTAGCATTCATTTAAACCGGAGCGGGGTCTGAAGGAAAGATGAGATTCACAGGTGGGAAAAAAGAGACTTTGACATGATTACCAGATGAACACTTCAGAACATCTACAACAAAACTGGAGGACGTGAAGCAGAGCAGTTAACTCCAGTTTCTCTTTTAAAGCTGCCATATGTGTAGGCTGACAGTCTCTGACACGTCATCGCACTGGGGATGAAATAAATATTTTCTCAGATGACGCTTTGATGCTGTAAAAAAAAACTCAGAAGATGAGAATTGTTCAGGAAGCAGCTGGTCCTGCAACAAGGAGTTCGGCTCATTTGTGTGAGTGCTCTGCAGTCCAGTGTGTGTCGTTCCAGCTCCATGAGACGTCCTCAGCCACCGGGTCAGCCTCCTCTTCGCTGTCACACTGCCGATTCAGATCTGGAGACGGGGCGTCATTAGTGAGCGGCCCACTGTTCCCGACTGGGGTCTGACCGTCTGCTTCTGACTCGTTTAACGTGTCCAGTAGATCTGAAATGTCAGGGATGTCCCAGCCGTCGCCCGTCTCCTCTGGGTCTGCCGCTCCTCTGCAGTCTGTGCTGTCTTGTGAGCAGGTCTCTGCATTCTCAGCAAGGATCTGGGTCGTGTTCAGGTGTGGTCCTTTGGTGGTTTGGTCAGGGATGTCCATGGTCCCCTCTGTTACAGGATGAGGGAGAGCAAAGGCGGCTCCTGGGACTACTTTGGTGGGAACTCCCACTGCCACCAAGATGGTGTCCATCTGACGCATGTAATCCAAGTGACCTTTGACCTGAGGAGGAATATCATTTCATCATACGTGCCATACAAATAGTTCATATTTCTCCCTAAAACAGGGTTGGATCTGAAACGTTCATGTTTTGTGAAAGTGTGCAATTATTCCTGATCTTTTTATGTGTCGTGCAGCTAAATTTTTACTCTCTCTTTTACATGACCAGGTTTAACGTAGGTGCTTTTGTCGGGTTCAGTATTTTATTGATATAATTTTTTTTAGAAAATCAAATTAGTGAAATGTGAGGCTTCTTAATCTGGTTAAAACATTTTATGTGGAACCATGGTGGTTCAAAAGGTGGCTGGGAGGCGTGCTGTGTGCTGAAACTGATGAACAAAGGTTTTTTCTCTTTTTTTAAAGCATAACTTAAGATAACCGTTTTTTTGGACAGTGCTAAATTAAACTGCTGATCAATAACTGATCACAAAAAATGTGATTCATAGTCAAATTTTTTTCAGGGATTATCAGCCCACTCTTAAACACCTCGCTTACAGTAGCTGTAGACAGCTGTAGCCAGTTGAGAACAAAAGAAAAACCGAGCTGAGCGGAGAAGCCTACAAGCATCGACAGCACAAAACAGAATTCACAATGCGGTTAAGTCAATGGTAACTAAGGGAGAAGCTAAATGGCAACGATTTCTAGTCTGCTGAATGGATTATCAGTGTGCTACTTTGCATATTTATGCAAATGGCACAAGATTAGGATAAAGTAAATGCTTTGGTAGCGAAGCAACTATTACCCATCAGCAGGTATGAAACTTTGTAGATGAACCAATCCTTGCAAAAAGATTCCCAGAAACATTTTGAAACTGTGAATTTCTGGCAGTTTAAAGACATTTTAATTTGAACATTTTCTTCCCAGACAGAGTAGCAGGATATCTTGTCAGTCAAATCTTGAAATATTTGAAATGTGAAAGCAAAAGCTTCCAGGTTTAGTCAAATAGTCTGTCCATGTCAGCACAGCTATATTTCAGTAATCTACCATGAAATGAAAAGCTGTATCTTATCTCCTGTCCAACCAAGGCTCCAACTCCAGTCATTAGACTGCTCATCCCTGTCAAGTCTGCAGGAGAAACTACTGTGACAGCAAAGAAAAAAACTCCACTTCTCTGTGAATGGAGCAACATAGCCTTATTTGACGGTTTTTCTAGCATTTATCTGTTTTCTTTATAATGTGGGACAGAAGCTAATGCTTCACAGCGGAAGCAGCCATGGAGCCTTTCATTTGTTTCAGTGTGGAGAAGAGCTGGCTTGGCTGACGGACGGGAACAGCAGGACGCCACCTCTGTTTGGTCAGTGTGAATGACTTAATAAGAGCAACTGGGGCATAATGAGGAGTCTTTTCAGTGCCTTTACACAGCACTTCATGCATAAAAATGGCTGTGGTGGGTTATTCATGCAATACATAGGAACTTATGTTACATCCATTTTGCATCAACGCATTGCAAGCATGATATTCATGTCCTTCACGCTACATCTGATTTGACTGTAAGCCAGAGGACGTCTGCTGATGGTGAACAAACACTTGGAAGAATCAGCGAGGCCCATTCATCACTGCTTACAGCCGTACTGGACCTACGATGCCTTAAAGTGACACAGTGTTATTCTGTCAGAGTGACAGGCAACAACTGTCTGCCTCCGCAAGCAGCTTGGACAACTACAAAAAAATAAACTAATATCATTTTTTTTAAAACTCCCCCAAAATACTTTTTCCCCTTAGTGGCATAATGTACTAACATGCCACTTCTCCCTTTATGATTTAGTCAATGTTCGCTTGTAAATATATAAAACAAAATACAATCCAACAAAATTATTTTCATTCGGAACCATTTCTGGCTTTTTAGAGAACATGATAACCCTTAACACTGTAACTATCTACAACTTTTAGCTCTTACGCTTTCAGCTGTACTTTGATTTCAACGTAATTCAAGTAGAAGCTCTGACTCACCACAGAGGAGAGATCCACATTGATTATTCTCTGGTCCTGGATGTTGATTGGCCGTAGCCCGGCAACAGACAGCTGTGCAGCTGAGCTACGGTACAAAAACCCCAAGAGCCAGTCCCCTCTGACAGGAGGATAATTCAGAAAGTAATTTGTTCATGTAATTCCTAAACAGGAAACAACTCAATACACTCTGAAACACAACCAGAAAGAGCTGGACTTCACCTGCAGTATCCGTTCACTATCTTCCCAGCCACGACTTTTGCAATTCTTTCCCAGGTCTTCTCCGAGCCATCCACTGGAGCCCCCAGAAGCACCACATCCTCTACCATACCTTCACTTCCTGAGGATTAAAAGAAAAAAAAATACATTATTCTAGTTAGGTTGAAAATATGTAAAACGTACTAAGATGTATTCTAGTTATAATTTTTTTTTTGCTTTATTTTTGCTCCTGAAGGCATCTGCAGCTAATTCTGCATCTTGGTATTTAGGGTGTCCAGGTTCACCTCGCTAGTGCCAGATGATTGCCTTAATTTTGTTGTTTCACTCTGAGTGGCTCATGTTTTCCCTGAGTTTTTGTCTATGTTTTGGTCATTTCGTCCAATCAGTTTCAAACTAGATTCTCTGGGAATCGATACCTGTTTTGCTTTTCAACGAAAAATGGGATTTTGTGTTTTTGATTTTTTTGAAGAACCACAGTACTCTTTCCAGAGAGCACTTTTTCATGTGGCCTATCCAGCAAATACCAAGAAAGTATTTTTTCAGTTGTATCTGCTGGCAGTATTTTCTTTGAAACTTTCCTGTGTTTTCTTACAGGTAATTTATGTTGATACTTTTTCCTGTTTTCTAACAGTAATTTTGCTTTTTCTTGTGTTTATTCACAGTGATCTTTGGTTGATACTTTGATACTCTGTTTGAATTTACGCTATTGTTAGCAGTCATGTTTCGTTGTCCAATAAATAATAATAATTGATGTATAAAGAGATTCGGTTTTTGTCCTCTTGATTCCCCGTGAGAGAATCTGGATTCCATCAGACCTTAAAATCCATCATCACCTTTCTCATCATTCAAGTGGCTTTTGTATGTAATGATCTGAAATGCCGCCCACCTTGATCTCTGGCAAGCTCCTCCAGACAGTAGTAGATGACTCTCGCTCCAAGGCTGAAACCTATAAGGCTGACAGGTCTCTTTCCCTTCAAGGACAGAGAAAAAAGACGAGTGGACTGACCTCGGTGCTTACTGAACAAAGGCAAATTATTCTCTTGAACAACATTGCAATTTTCCATGTTTGAAATAATCTTATTTCAACTCAAGTTTGCCCCAATGTTCAAGCTGTGTGTTGAAAAGAGCAAAGAACATAAATAGCATGGCTATATTTAGTGTAATCCACTTAACAGTGTTCACAGGTACCACGGTTAAGTGCACACCACACTAGATTTTTTTGTCATCTTTGTGCAATTCATCCCCCACTTCCTGTTAATTTCTACTGCAGCCATCCCGAAAAGCAACGAAGAAACTTAGCTGAATAAAAACTAAGCAAATGACAGTGTAACACAAAAACCTCCTACACTGAGAACAGACCTAATTAAAGCGGCTTCGAACACAGATGTAAGGTCGCCCCGTACCTGCTGCCTACTTCTCAAAACCTGCGCCAGGTGTTTTCCCACCTCAGCCGAGCGGTTCAGACAAACGCACCAGGGGTTGTCAATGACGCTGGCTGCTGCCAGCAGCGACGCGGGCCACGTCAGAGCTGTCACAATACCTGAAAAAGAGCAATGGTGAGAAAATACACAGAAACGAGTCGGCTGACCAGAACGCAACTCTTTCTGTGGATGTTTTAGAGGCTCGGCTTGCCAATACCATCAACATTTCACTACCACTTGTCTATGTAAATAAGTGTCCAGTGAATAGGGGCTAAGTGCTTCCTGTGCAGTCACTCTCCTACCTGAGAGCACAGTGTACTTGAGAGCTTCCTGAGCTACCATGCTGACCAGCCCATCCAGCAGAGAGGTCATGGCAGAGCCCAGATCCCTGAGGAAACGTGACTCCCACACCAGGCAGTACTGTTCTCCACACTCGCCCAAGCTGCACCACGGTGCCTGGAACGAACCTGGAACACAGTAGCAGTGTTTTTTTATTGAGGGAAACATCTAAGCAGCACTTGATTGTTAAGTGTTTTTGCTGCCATTGTATGTGAAGGGGTCTTAAGCTTGTAACAGAGTATGTTTCAGTTGTAGAGGAGAGATGCATTGTTTTTGGTAAAAGCAAAATTAGAGTGCTTATTATTCATGTAATATTCCAAAGTAGGTGCTGGTATTGTTTTGGAGCATTATTGGCAAAGTTGGACCTCATTTTCTCTCATAAAATATGTTTTCCTGAACTGTAATTAACAGTGAACGAAAATGACAAATTACCTGACACGGCTGTTGTTTGTCTCATGTAATTACATTACAAAACTTGTCTTTTACCACAGACACAATATAATTTTTCTACTCCTTCTCCAATTTTGTTCCATCATTTCAAATAATGCTGTAAAAGCGGGGAGTCGGAGGTCTGTGGCATTAGTGTACCAGATTTTTCTATCAATGTGATGTTAAAATGAGGTTTTAGTAGGATAGTAGTAGGATTGTCTGGTGTTATTATTACATCAATGACTTATTATGATATACAGTACAAACTTTAATCAAATCATTTGGAATATTTTTCCCAATATACCTTGGAATTGGACGTCAAGCATGTTAAAAAAAAGTCACACTTACTGTATTTACCATTACACAGCCAACCTGTGACTGCAATGGTCAGGTGAAGATGCTTGCCGGAGGTCAAGGGCAGGAACTCAAACTCCTCTATTGCTCCAACACACTTATTCATCTTGTAACCTAATCAGACAATGCATGCAATTAAATTGGATTGTTAAAAGGCGAAAAAATATGCAGAATGAAAACATTTATTCATTGAAATCAGTCAACATGCTGGAAATGATGGTCTTTTTGGCACATTGTAATTCAGTGCTCTGACCAGTGAGTCCGGCGCCTGCTGCTCCGAACAGAGAGGCCATTATCGCAATCCCAGTGGCCGAGCCCAGGGCGGCAGCACCTCCCGCCCCCAGCACGGCCCCCGCTCCTGCAGCCACCAAGGGGGCCGCCAGTCCACCTGTCACACCTGGCAACAGCAAAAGCAACCAATAAAAAACAAGCACCAATACCCCCTGAGGAAGAATCGGAAACTTAAAACAGGTGGTGAATTTGTCAGATCATCTTTGTTTTTCAAGAGCTGCTTTCTGTGACCAAAACTGTAGATATGAAACACTAAAACTGTTATATTCACCAATCACGGTTCCTCCACCCACTGTGGCTAGTCCAATGAGGAGGTAACGTCGTAACTTCCGCCCTCTTTCCCTCTTCAGCCGCCTGGATGATTCCTCTCTGGTGGAAGCACAGTGAGACAGCACGAGTTAAATGCTTTACACTAAAGCATGAGATTCAGAACTTTTACAGTGTTTTGGATGCACTAAAATCTCCATGCTGCCATAGCTTACTCGCTCTCCTCCCCTGCTTCCCTCAGCCTCTCTCCCAGCGTCGCCTCAAACTCCTCCAGCTGCCGTGGAGAGACTCGTAGCAAACAGCTAACATGACGGATGAGAACCCTGGCTCTGGCATCATACTGGCCTGAGTGCGGGGCATATCAAAACAGCTTTGGGAAAACAGGGTTTTGTATATTTACACCAACTTCCAAATGCTTTTTCAAAAAAGAGACTCACCATCTTTGACAGAGAAGGACACCAGATCCTGGAAAACAAAAGCAGAGCTGGTTAGAATAGGCAAACTTGGAAAAGTGGATACTACTGAAATTCCATAACCGAAGCACGGATGAAATTCTGTTGTGTCAAAACAGCAGTTGGACAAAGAGGTGGACAACGTCCATATTTAAGAATAACATATAAAATCCACTTTCCTCTTTTATTGCTTATCTGTTAAGAGACAAAAGAAAAAGAGGTGGAATACATCACATTTTGGAGAAAATCTTATTATGTTGGAGTGCTTTATAAGATTAGCTGTAACATCATGATTATGACTATGTGTGTATGGATTATTATTTTGTAAATCCATCCCTTTGCAGTATAAGTGACCACTAGCCTATCTGTTCTGACCTGTTAACTCAACATTTTGAATGAGTGATTGCTGCATCCAATTGATGAGACAAAGAAATATAGTGTGAGTGTCAAACACCTGTATGATTGGAGTGGCTCCTGAAGCCAGCAGTGGATCAGCCTGGAGGATGGAGAGGAAGGTGTCAGAGCCCTCGAATCCGAGCCCTGACAGGAAAGCCCCCATGACCGGCATCACAGACTCATCCAGGTCCAGCCACTGAACCAGCCCCTGTAGGTACTGCTTCCTAAACTCCCTTTCAAAACAGAAACACAACATCTTTTTTTTTAAATCACAAAAACCACTCTGAGCTGGAACACACAATCAGAAGGTTACAATGGCATCATTCATAGCCTACCCGTTTTCAGACCCGGCGAACAACTGGCCCAAAGAGACGCCACACAGTGCTGCAAATGCAAAGCGGCTCTGCTCTGTCATCTGTCTGCCGATGATCGTCTTTGGGTTTTGGTCACAAGGGGCATCTTTTTCTGTTCCTGCCCCTCCAGGGTCTATGGTGATAAAAATACAAAGTTTAATGATTAATGAAAGCTTTGGAGTAATGAACTTAAGAGTAAACTACCAATTCAAATGCCAAACTAAGTAACCGTGAGCCCTATGACGATGGGGAAATGATAAAACTGAGAGTTTTATAATATGTTATTCATTTTAATATAGTTTTGTGAATAACAATTCATGCCGAATTTACTAAAGCCACCCTGGGCTTAAAATTAGGTATTCTGCCACGTTTTTGGCACAAGCTCTGGGTAAACGTAGAATTATTTATTTAAATTTCGGCATCAAACTGTCTAAATTTTGAATGCAGTTCGTTTTGAACAGCTACACGGAACTAGGTTACAGCCTAACTTTGAGCTTCTCTTCATTTCTCTGATGGGGCGACCTGAATTCAGCACACCGACGCAGCTGAAATGTGACCCAAATATCTTACTTCACAATGTTTTTCTCTTTTGTCTGTTCTAAAGCCAATTTACACCGGTGAGTTGAAAAAAGTAACTGTTAGCTGCTGAACAGCTGGCTGTCAGCGGCAGCTCAGCTCCAGTCGGAAAACAGGCTAACGGTACGACGGCACCTTCCGTAACAAACTAAGCTTAGTCTTTTCATTTTACTACAGAAATAAAATATTTCATAAACTAACTATATGTTCTACCTGGAGAGAAGTTTGTGTCCGCACTGCTCTGTTTTTCCTCCATGTCTGTAAGTGTCACAACTCTGCAGAGTTAACTTTTGGTGCATTCACGTGTTGATCCTGAGCTCCGGAATCACAATAATCAGACGACACAAACTCGTTTACATACTCGTGATAGTAAATATTTCCGGGACCACCAGTGCAACAAATGCAGTGAAATTATTTGATGTGAATGCTTTCACGTAAAATGAGAATCCTCACGAAATTAGCTGGTTCTTGAAAGGCGAAATTAAGAAAGTGAACATAAATTATAAACGCATTAATCTACGTCATTAGCATACTCCTGTTGTAAAATCATTTGAACACATAACTATTAATATAATTTCTGAAAATACAGCGTTTTGTAAGAAATAAAACCACATTAACCCTGAAAATACGGTCGTTCAATGTAAAAAAAAAGTTCATATTTACGGTTTTAGGAAAGGCATCACTTGTTTTTCAAGTTTGATGTGACGCAACTTCCACGTACTCTCAGAGCAGGGCAGAGGTTTAACACTGAGTTTATAACCCCGAAAAACTTCACTATGTCACTGATCAATCCTTACAATTACTAATACATGTATCATACTGAAGCAAAAGAAAATAACAGATTAAAAAAAACGTGTGTCAAAAAACGCCGTTGAATAAAATGTGGAAGGAAACAAACAAACCTTTCAGGTGATAAAGTACGAGTGTTGTACAAGTTTGACCAGTAGGTGTAAGTGTCACATTTATATTCTCGCCACCCATTGCTTCCTGAGTGGATTGTCCTTAGACTTCACTGTAGTTGTTAATTCCAACATTTGTCGTATTAATTTAATGCATTTACTTTTGAATGTCCAGTTTAAAAAATATGCAAATGATTTTAAAAGTCTGTTGTCCTCAGAAATATTCAAATTCATATCAGAATTTTTTAAGTCCATCTGGTGAATACAATAGAATAGATGCTCAGTGTTAATGGCTAGTGGCCACAAAAGCAAGTAACTCAAGGACACTTTAGAAAAAGTACATTTGTGCAGTCTGAATAGACCCGGCCTTCTGATGGCAATGTTAAAAACAACATGATTTAGGAGGGACTGCAAATTATTCAATGTGAAGTGTGTCAGGATCATAAATATGAAAAAAAAATGTACAAGTCACGTTCAAACTGAGGCCATTATAGAACAGTTATGTAATGGTTTGAAGTAAATACAAGGAAGTAGTTTATGCAGAAATATCAAGTATGTTAAAATGTTATGTTTAATCTTATTAGGAATTTAAACGTGGAATATCATTCCCAGTTCAAAGGAAGGTAGGCACAGGGATGAGGACATCTGCAAAACATCGGCATCCATAAATTATCAAGAATTTTCAGATTGCGTCTCAAAAATAAAATCCTGAAGGTTTTTAATCTTCCAGCATTTATAGAACACGATACCATCAAGAAACATCTCTGTGTAATAGAAACAAAGCTGAAAATCATTACCGGATGCCTGTGATCTTCCGGCCCTCAGGCAGGACCGTATTAAAACCAGACATGATTCTGACATGGAAATCGCTGCATGGGCTCAATGAGCACTTCCAGAAATCATTGTCCATCCACACAGCTCACAGAACCACCCTTAAAGGCAGAAAAGCATCCATATGTGAACATACCACAGAAACAATGCCATCCCAGCTCATTTAAACTGGACTAAGCCATAGCAGAAAACTGGAGACCCCATCTAGACTGAAGAGGAAACGCTGTTAGTAGAGTTCATTCCAAAGGGTTGTAACTCTCGTGGTGTTAGACTGCATTAGAGTTTATCCGTCTTGAAAGACGGATAAAGCCAAATGCATTATTTCAGCAGTGTGTCTTCATAATAAAAGAGGCTAGGTGCAGGATAGTGCATTATGAAATGTCTCATGTGGTTAAGAAGACCCAGCACTGCTGAATCCTTTAACAGACAAGAATGGGAAAACAATTTGTAATTATGTAATTATGACTTATCATAAAAAAACTTCAATTCCAGTTTTAATCATTGAATGATTTGGCCATATATAGTCAACTGTAAATGAATTATTGATTCATGGTATTTGCAAATAATATATTATTTTTTAGATATTTTAGCAGCCACACAATTTTTTTGTGGTGAAAAGCAATGCGTACAATAGTGAAATGCTGCATCTTATTACAGCATAACTGTTACTTCTTACTCCCCAACCTGTCATTCATGTTATTCTACCTGTAATGGTTTGATAGTATGGGTGACCCAAAGGCAGGACACAAAAAGAACACAGCCAAGTGCAATCCAACAACTAAGGTGGGTGCAATAAAATGTAGTTCAAATCTAGATAATCAGTCAACGTCACCGATATTTGCTCAGCAGAAGCAGAATCTAGAAATGAGAGGAATGTCAAAAATCCATGAGCAAATGCCCAGAGAATGGAGGATTTGGCAGAGAGGACCAAAAACCTGGGAATGGTTATACAATGTGACTGATTGCAGCCAGGTGTGGAGGGAGGGAGCAGATGAGTGGGCTGATCGGCCAAAAACGCACAGCAGGTGTGAGGCAAAAACAGAAAGCAAAAGTAACAGAAGTGAAATCCAATCAGCTGCCATAAACCAAAAAAGGAAACTATGACACTACGTCATCCGCTCTGGAAAATAAACTCTAAGCCTTAAAGCAGGAAAGGATCCTTTAAAAAAAAAAAAAAAACAAGATTTAGGTCCTGTAAAATTAGCTGCAACATGTTTTAAAACGTCTTTGTCATGTCTGTGCAGTTCTCTTTGCAGCCATCTGTTGTGGCAGCAGGATCACAGCCAGTAAAGAGAGCGAACAAATTGATTAGGAGGTTTGGCTCTGTGCTGGGGAGTGCTCTGGAGCCAGTGGAGCTGATGGTGGGATAAAGAATGCTCCACAAACTTCTCAGAGTAAAGGACGACGCCGTGCATTTCATACCTGACATAAGAGATGGAAAAAGCTTCTTTGCATGGAGTCTTTTTCAGCTGTGTTGCCATAGCAACATGACCAGGTTGTTGTCCCCGCCACCTGCCATAGTCTCATTTGACTCCCCATGACTTTTCCCGCCTTTAAAAAAATATTTTCCTTTAGATTTTTATTAAGGAAAACATACTGTTTGTCTTAAATAGATAGTTTCTTTGATTACACTGCAAAGTTTGAGTTGTGCAGTCTGCATAGAATGATAGAAAATTGCTTGGTGAAGTACATTTACATTCATGCATTAAACAGATGCTTTAATGCTGAACGACTTACAAGAATACAAAAGAATTAAGTAGCACACAAAGCAATTAACTAGAAACAGTTATGATTCCAAGAGTAGGTTTAATGCAAATTTGAGGAAGGAGAAGAAACATGGAAATTAGGCAAACTGTTAATAGGAGATGAAAGGGAAAGATAAGTACTGTTGTTGATCAGTTTGTCATGAAGAAGTTTTCTTTGAAAAGAAAAGTTTTCAAGAGCTTTTCAGAGGATTTGACAGGACTCCCTGCTAACACTTGGTGGGCCATTGCACAATGAGGAACAGGGAGGGGAACAGCCCGGGCTGCCGGGCTCAAGGGGGTGGCAGAACCAGATGATGGTCCTAAGAGGAACAAAAGAGCTGAGGGGTGACCCAGGTCTGCATGAGAGTATGGAGTCAGGGGGGAGCAAACTCAGAGATCACATTCTTGGCAGCTACAACCATGTGTCCTTTAAGGGAGGTTGAAGACCACAGGTTGAACACATTTAGGCATTTAGCGAATATTCAACGTGGAGGAAGAAAACTGAATGCATTCCTCAATCTGGGATCCTTTTTCTGTTTTTTTTCAATTCTCTTGGATCCATTTCCTCTTTAGGTATTGTTTGTGAGCTCTTCTTCACATCTGCTGCATCGGCTTAAGCACTCTCGGAGGCTTTCCATTCTGTCTTTGTCTTGTTCAGTCTGGAACCCTGAGCACTGACGAGGGACCAAGACGAACACAGGAAAAAGCGCAAGAAGGTGGAGGGAGCGTCCAGTCAGGTCCGCTTGGGGAGGAACAGTTAGGACAATCTGGTCTCTTTATCTGAATGATATCCTGACCCTGTCACAGAGGAATCTGCAAACCTGCGTGAGCTGTATTTGTCTCTGAAAAGTATCCTGTTTATACTCCCTGCTGGACAGCCTCAAGAGCATCATAAACAAGTCTTTATATGTAGGCAAACCCGAGCGAAGCTATAAATCAGCCACAACATCAGTGTGTCTTTATTTAGACTCTCTTTGTTGCGAGGTATTTCTGAATCAAACAAGACAAATTAAATGTCAAATAGCCACAGATTATACGCAGACTGCATGCATTCTGAAAAAGAAAAGGTTTATCTAATTGTCCAGCGAGTTTTTCTTTTGACAGTTTTAGCCTTTTCACCTTTTGCTCCTCTTGAGACGAAGGAAAAATAAAGGCTCAGCTGGAGAAAAAAAAAACAACAGAAAAATGTAGGTGTTGAAAAGCAGTGATGGAAAAGATGATGTGACATGAACTGCTGGCGCCATAAAAATCTTCCTATGTATTTATTCACCTGCGCTCAGGGTGTCAGGTGAAATGTGGGTGTTGTTGGATAACAATATCTGAATCTTGGGCAGGCTTAACATTGTGACATTCATTACAATGTATTTGTGGTAAACACATTTAAATTCACGGATTAATTTCCCTGCAAAAGGCAAGTCTAAATTAATCATAAATGTAGCTACGCTGATCTAACAAAAGCTGCCTAATCCTTTGTAAATTAACAGTGAAAACACTCATAACCTGCTTATTTGTTTATCTCATTTAGCTTTAAGGGATGGAGCCAAATGAAATCCCCACGTTGCTATTCTGTTTATTTTAATGTCTGATTTTTATGAGATACAGTGTCTGACTCAGATGACGAGCATACCTTTCTAAGTGTTCACATTTCAGAGAGACAGAAAACTATGGACATCAGCAGTCCATTGTGGGTTGAACACGCGCCCAACACAGTGTCTGTATTGGCATGTTTTGTAGCCAAACATTGATAATCCTCTGCATCTTAGTGTCTACAAATGATAAATGTAGGCAGCCAAATTATTACAGATCTAATCTGTGATGTGGTTATGATTATCAAATTCTAGA